TTTGCGCGACGAAACATATTGGTCGCGCAAAGTAACTTTGCGCAACGAAAATATTGGTCGCGCAAAGTGACTTTGCGCGACGAAAAAATATTTGTCCCGCAAAGCGACTTTGCTCGACGAAAAATATTGGTCGCACAAAACTTTGTGCGACGAAAAAATTTTAAAATTTTTTTAAAAAAAAATTCCCTCGTCCCATTTTTGGTACCCGCCCAAATTTTTAGAGTTTTGCGCGACGAATATTAATGTCGCGCAAATATTTGCGCGACGAAATATTTTGGTTTTTGACTTTTTGTTTTATTATTTCTTTAATATTAATTTAATTATATTAATTATTTCGAATTTTTAATTTTTAAATTAAATTTAATTGTATGATTTTTTTCGTTACTTTAATTTAAATTGATATTAATTTAATTATATTAATTTATTCAAATGTTTACTTTTTAAATTTAATTTAATTACTTTAATTTAAATTGACATATTCAAAATAAAATTACATATGAAAAATAGTGATCAAATTATCCAATAAATATATATATAATATTCAAAATGTACACATAAATTAACAAAGTACAATAAATAAATAAAAGGGATAATCTCCCCTAAAATTGTTATACCACAAATCCAACCCAAACTCCAATCCCTCCCCTTTACTCAACCCCAAACCCCACACAAACTCAAAACTAACTCCAAAAACACATATTAATGAAAAAAAAAATTAAAATTTGGAGAGAATCTACCTTTTGGCAAGATTGAGAGTGAGTGAGAATGAGAGAGAGAAATGAGTGTGAGAGAATTAGAGAAGATAGTGATAGAGAGATGAGAGAGTGAGTGAGAGTGAGAGATAGTGAAAAGAGAGATGAGAGAGTGAGTGAGAGTAAGAGATAGTGAGAGTTAGAGAAATGGTGGGATTTGGGGAGAGGGAAAGAGAGAGGAGAGGAAAGAGTAGAGAAAGACATTGAGAAAATGGTGGAGGAGTTATTTTTATTTTAAAAACCGTATCACTTTGCGCGACGAACGACATTGTTGGTCGCGCAAAATATTGGAGTATTGGTCGCGCAAAGTTTTGCGCGACGAATATTAGTATATTGGTCTCGCAAAAAGATCAATCCCGCGTCCCATTTTTGGTACCCGCCAAATTTTTGCGCGACGAAAATATATATTGGTCGCGCAAAGTCTAAAAAAAAATTTTTTTTCATCCCGCGTCCCATTTTTGGTACCCGCCCAAATTTTTAAAGTTTTGCGCGACGAATTGTTGGTCGCGCAAACTTTTGAGAGACGAAAAATTGGTTCATAGCACGATATTTATAAAAATAATTGTTATGAATAATAAAATTATTTTTTTTACGATTTAAAATATAAATAAGGTTAAAGCTACTTAATAAATGTATATACCAATTTCTTAAGTGTTATACGTACAAAATAAATAAATTTAAAGCTACTTAATAAGTAAATATATATATATATATATACACACCACCATTCAACGATCCAACCGTCAGACTTGTTTGTATATACTTCAAGATCGTATACCCCAAAAATTGTAAAAAACAAACATTCGGAGACCTAGTAACGGGACAAAAAATTTCAACGGTTCTTAATGAAAAATCACGATTTAACGGTTATTTTAACTCCGATTTTGATGATTTTTTACAGCTACACTCCTTGACCCTATATGAATACAATGAACTAATTCGATCGTCAATTTAAAATATTTACACTAGTGGATACCACAAAATCTTATGTTATATTTAACAAAAGTATAAATAAACTCTTAATTGTTAGTGAATATATTGTTTTGATGGCATACGCATTCAAAAAAACAAGTTTCAACGATCCAACCGTCAAACTTATTTGTTTATACTTCGAGATCATATACGCCAAAAATCGCAAAAATAAACATTCAGAGATCAAGTAACGGGACAAAACTTTTCGACGGTTATAAATGAAAAATCTTGATTCAACGGTTATTTTAACTCCGATTTTGATGATTTTTTACCGCTACACTCCTTTACCCTATATGAATACAATGACTGAATTTGATCTTCAATTTAAAATATTTACACTAGTGGATACCACAAAATCTTATGTTATATTTAACAAAAGTATAAATAAACTCTTAATTGTTAGTGAATATATTGTTTTGATGGCATACACATTCTATGAAACTAGTTTGAACGATCCAACCGTCAAACTTGTTTGTTTATACTTCGAGATCATATACACCAAAAATCGCAAAAAATAAACATTCAGAGATCAAGTAACGGGACAAAACTTTTCGACGGTTATAAATGAAAAATCATGATTCAACGGTTATTTTAACTCCGATTTTGTTGATTTTTTACCGCTACACTCCTTTACCCTATATGAATACAATGACTGAATTTGATCTTCAATTTAAAATATTTACACTAGTGGATACCACAAAATCTTATGTTATATTTAACAAAAGTATAAATAAACTCTTAATTGTTAGTGAATATATTGTTTTGATGGCATACGCATTCTATGAAACTAGTTTGAACGATCCAACCGTCAAACTTGTTTGTTTATACTTCGAGATCATATACGCTAAAAATCGGAAGAAATAAACATTCAGAGATCAAGTAATGGGACAAAACTTTTCGACGGTTATAAATGAAAAATCACGATTTAACGGTTATTTTAACTCCGATTTTGATGATTTTTTTATAGCTACACTCTTTGACCCTATATGAATACAATGAACTAATTCGATCGTCAATTTAAAAAATATATTTTCTAATAAAAACCCAATCCAAAAAACAATAATATATTTTTCTAACAAATATTTTAAAAATATTTTATTTATTTTATTTATTTTTATAAGGACTTTGCGAGACGAAGTTAATTGTTTCGTCGCGCAAAGTAGCTTTGCGTGACGAATTGTTTTTCGTCGCGCAAAGTCGCTTTGCGCGACGAACTGTTTTTCGTCGCGCAAAGTTACTTAGAGCGACGAATTTTTTTTCGTCGCGCAAAGTTACTTTGAGCGACGAAATTTTTTTCGTCGCGCAAAATTTGGTCGCGCAAGACTTTGAGCGACGACGTATTGTCGTCGCGCAAAGTCGCTTTGAGCGACGAAAAAAAATTCGTCGCGCAAAAGTTGGTCGCGCAAGGTTTTTAGCGACGAAGTTTTAAGTTTCGTCGCGCAAAATTTGGTCGCGCAAGGGTTGTTTTGTAGTAGTGCCATTTAGAATATATATAATTTATTTTCAATATAAATATATTATTAAGATGTGTCATGGTGGTACTACCTCCATAATGATAATCATGTCTTGGACATGTAGTTTTGACATGTATTAATGTTTTTTTTTAAATAGTCTAGATTTTTAGTTAATAAAAATTGAATTGATGCATATGTTGTGCTCACAGTACTTTTTTCTTATTCAACATAATAGCTTTTATTGATTAATTTTTTTCATAATGGGGCGGATTGGGAAACCCATTGTAGGGGCTTTTTTCTTCCGGCAACTACTACAGGCCTGAGCTGCCGTAAAGAGCAAAATGGAAGAAATTGCCCCTTGAGCCTGAGTTCGAAAACCAAGCCCCAAAATGCTTCGAAAGGGCAGTAGAGCCTTAGGAAGCGTCTTGGTTATCTTCACCAACCAAAACAACAGCAACTTACAAATAAATTCTTGGCTTGGCATGAGAAGCTTGTGGCATGGGAGCAAAATTGTCATGAGTTTAGCACTGAAGAGAAAACTAAGTGTTCCTAGGAGAAAGATGGGGTGTTAAGGTTGGAGAGAAAGGATTTTGCAGAGAGGTTTGGTTGAGCATGAGGAAAAAGAGAGAAAAATGTGACTTGAGTGTTTTTCCGGCAGCTTGACAGAGACTCTGTCAAGTGTCAGAACAGCTTGCCAAAAAGGAAAACTAATGGAAAATGATGGGCTGAGCACGAAATTGCTGGGTTTTGGGAGTAAGAGAGGAAGCTTGCTCTCTGATGTGGTTGATGCTTATTGGGTAGGAGAGGCCCCCTTTTATAGCCGCTGGAAGCTGACATTTTCCAAGAAACCCTAATGGTTTCTATCCAATTTGGCCAAGTCTTTCCCTTCATTTCTCCCCTCATTTCTTCAATCATCTTTTTTGGTGAAATCCACTCTACCCATTTGCACAAAATCAGGAATTTTTGGAGCTCAAGGCCCCTTTCCCGCGGCTGTTTCAGACTCCTATTTTCAGCCCTCTTTCTTCCTTCTTTTCTCCCCTCTTCCAAGGCTAGGTCTGATTAGGGAAAGAAATAGGTATGCATGTTGGTTCAAAGGGTGATCTGCGCTCCAATATCCCTTGGTCATTTGGAAGTTTTTGCTTGAAACTTGCTCCTCCCATGTGCTAGAGCTTCTTAGTAGCTTTTCAGACTTTCCTTCGTGGCTTTATTCTTCAGCCAAGTGTTGGAGCTTTGCAACTCTTCTATTGTAATTGTATGGGCCAAGTTGATTTATTGAGTAAGTGGGCTTTCTTTATCAAATGTTTGAGCTTTTTGGTTGAGTCAATAGGCTATTTTGGTTGGGCTATTTTTCTTTGGAGTGATGGGCTATTCTTTTCTCTCTTGTGCTTACCCACATGTTTGGGCCTATGAAATGGGCTTGAGTCCCGAGGCTCCCAAGCAACCCGGGACTTCCATTTCTCGGCCCATCAATGGGCCTCATGACAATTTATTATCATCTATACCACAACCCACTCAAGCAAGCCCCAGGCATCTTGTGTGGCTTAGGCCCACTTAAGCTTGTAGTGTGGCATGATGTTTATTTGTTTGGTGTGGCATGTGTGCAAAGCGTATATGACGAACTTTCGCGTGCCCAAATCGGTTTTCTTCTTGATAAGGTATCGCATTGGACCGAGAATTTATTTGGGCCGAACCGTGGATTTTTTGGGCCTCAACACCCATCCCCTAACAAAGGTGGGGATGGGGAATCCATGATTTGAATATTGCGGGGATGGGGAATCCCTGATTTGAATATTGCAGGTATGAAGGCATGAATGGGGGGAAAATGCTTAACGGGGACATGGATTGGAATGATATACCCACTCCCGATTCGACCCATTACCACCACTCGTCACTCGCTCTCACACCCTCAAGCCGCATCATCTATCTCCATATTCAGGTAAGATTTCACTTTATTCTTGTCTGATAGGCTCATCGTCTCAACTCCCTCTCATCTCCATCCTCTCAGCTCTCAATTGGTGCTGCCTTTATCAAATCGCAGAGCTGCTTGGGGATAATTAACTCTATGTAAGCTTTCTCGGTATCCAATTAGGGATTTTTTGTAAATTTGAAATTAGGGTTTCGTGTGAATTCAAGTTGGGGTTCGGTCAAGGTTTTTCGAAATTGAAATTGTGGTTTGTCTCTCTCAAATAGCCTAAATTTGTTTGGTCCTGTGATTTCAAATAGAGTTGTGTTTTAAATTGAATTAGGGTTTCTGTAGATGGTGAATTGTGACGGTTTAAGGTTTATGTACATGTCAAATCTCTGTTTAATGTTTCCCAATTTACCTAGTTTGGTATCCTGGAAAATGTTGTCACATTCACATACACTTGTTTTGCTGCATAGAGTGGGTTACTTTAAATGGCTATGTTTTGCTGCATAGATTCATTTCATGTATGCATAGATGTCTTTTCAAATTATTTGGTATGAAGTAGTTGATTTTAGGTTATGTCTTTGGTATGCTAGCTGGTAGTACTGTTTTTCATTTGGTATGCTTGCTGGTAGTTCTAATTGCATTTTGTTTTATTGCTGCTGGGTATTCTGTTTTATTAATTAGTTTCTGTTGCAGAGGTCGTAGAAAGAATGGCAGTTCTGGCTGAGAAATAAAGATTCTCTAGTAATATCAATTTCACCCCCTTATCTGTTTTCTTTTCTGGGTTAAGAAGTTTTTCCTCTTGTTTCAATTTGACCAATATCAAAATGCAAGAGGCAAATCAGAATTACAGTAGCAAATAAATTTGTCCTTTACTGAGAGACCATAAAAAATACAGGTGGATGAATTGAAGCAAGATCTGGGGGACTTGAAGAATCTAGCAGAGCATGTTACCAAACAGACTGCAAAGCATGAATTTGAAAGAAAGTAATCCCAAAGGCAGAAAGGGAAATATCAATGCTATTTATTCTTGTACATTGAAGAAATACTTGCAACTCAATGCAGTGGATTTATAATATTTAATAAATTTAAAAGATTGTTTGATTTCAAGTATAACTGACATTTCTTAATCTCGAGTGGTTCCTCCACTTGTGTTCTTGGACATATTGTAAGCTTCTAGATTAGCAAGTTAACAGGAGATAAATAACCAATAATAAAATGGTAAAGTTTAACAAATGGGTAATAAAATTCAAAGTGTGGTCTAGACTGACAAAATTCTGTGTAGCAAATTTGTTTCTTCAAATTACCACCTAGGTTAGCAAATGACATATTTTATGTGAAAATTTGACGGGTGGTTAGAGATTCTCAAGTTCCTAACAGCGGCAATATGCATATTCCTAACAGAAACATGAGAGTGAACGTTAGCGTCTGTCTAGTGCTTGTGCAAACTCTTGAGGATGGTGAACTGGGATATAACTCGCTGCAATGACCCCAATTTACAGATTGATTTCAGCAATCAATGCGTCCATTACTTACAGAGCTAGATGGCTGTACTTCCCTTATAATAAAGGCATTTCTCAAGAGCAATTGCTAGAGCATCATTCCATCCTTAAACGTTTAGAATGTGTTTCTCTCATCCACTCGAGGCATTCTTCTGCAGTGGCTGAGGGGCGAGCAAGCTGCCATGCAAGTATCTTTTGTTGCTGCCAAGTAAAGAATACATTATTAGCATTTGAAGTTTCATAACAGTCTTTTTGGTACTGGAATTAGAGTATATAGCTTACCCATTCTCGGACAAGTGGTCCTCCAGATTTAAGCTGCAAAACATTCATGATATCCCTTCCATTCACTAGCGGTTTTATGTCCCAGATTTTATCAAGACCTGATCCACCAAAAACAGAAATCAGAAAGGACATCCGAGCTGTTTCCCAAGGTTAAAACAAATCTTAACATGGCAATCTACTCCGGACTAAAAATACTGGTTAGGCATTGAGCACCATCACAGGATATGAAAAGAGGTGTGATTCCAAGAAATCTGTATTGGAGTGAGTCCAGATTCTTCTCTCTTCTTCTTAATCTCCAACACCAAAGAGTCATTCTAAAATCCACAACCACATATTACAAACTCTACTAATACATTCTCCTAAACTTAAACAACGTTTGCACAAACTTCCAGTAAGCATAAGCTCGGATTTAAGGCTGCCCAAGGAATGAATCGAGGTCTGCAGTTTCCTCTAGGGTACCAAGGAATCCTACAGTGAATTCTTACCTTGCCTAGTCTATCTAATATCTGGTACCGCATGATATTTTCTGCCAGTAATTAATTTCTTTGTTACTTCGTTATTTACTTTCACCTCAGCTTCATATTTGCATTCTAAATCATCCGTAACTTGTTATTAAACAGTTTTCAGTTTAGAATTGCTAGTCTGTTTCAGTAGCTGTTTTATGCATTTGAAACCCCTAGGCTGTCCTACATCAAAGTTCTGAAAATGAATAACATAGAGAACATGTAACAGCTAATGACACCAAAAGATTTTCTAGTATCAAAGCATTGGTTTCACAATGAGATCCTCAGTGACAGGATGAAACTGGACCCATAGTATCAAGTAACCTGAGCAAACTAAAGTAGATTGGAAAGTTGGCAGTTTGCAAAATAATATCACAAGGAACTAACAAATATAGCATATGCATATCATCAGAAAGGTGGGGTTAAAAGAGACTTCTGATACCTAGTTTAAGTACGGCATCTTCAGCTGCTTTAAACAGGCTTCTCCTCCTTTCGAGTTCAAAGTTCTTGTTCAGAAGATCTTCGGTACAATCAATGTTGCGGGGATATACCAACGTAGACATCAGCAAGGCAACTCGCCAAAAATCTTTGAGTTCTCGTAGAAGAAATCCTGGATGGTTGAAAATGCAAATTGAACAATAAGAACAATGTCACCTTGCATAACACAGATTCCAAAATAACCTCACCCTGCAGATTTTCTAAGAGAAAACGGTGAGGACACAGTAAGGTAATACCTGTCAAAACTCGGGGTTTCGAAGCAAGAGGAACATCAACAAATTCTCTTTCCCAATCAACTTCAGTGAGTAGTACGTCCTCATTTGATGCAAAATAAGGAATCAATGGCAAAAACTTCTCAAAAGCATAGTGTACATTTATAACCTGTAACAAAGAAAATCGCGAACACATTTATAATAACTGCAGATTCCAGAAGTCTTGATATAACTACCAGCTTAGTATGTCCACATAATATGTGTACAATAGAGGGAGAGAAGTGGACTCAAACGTACTGTTTCAGCATCACTGACTTTTCGCTTAAGCGAGTCCCGGAAAATGTAGTTCACAACGGGAATCTGAAACTCAAGGACACAAATTTAGAATTGCAGTACAAGCATGAAAATCAAGTGATGTTGACCAACTGCATAATAAATAATATCCCAGACATGCTAATTTCATACATATTTTCCCGTGACATAGGATAACCAAACCCATACCTTCTTTGCTTTGTTATCTTTATACATGGTCTCCCTAAGTGGGAGGAACATAGCAGTATATAAAGCGAGCCTTCTTTGTTCATTCACATGCATGTTAGAGGAGCCACCATGATCCATAAGATAAATAACACAAAAAAAAACAAAAAAAAAAAAAAAAAAAAAAAAAAAAAAAAAAAAAAAAAAACAGATACACAAGCAAATTTGAATTATAACAATGATCATTCCATATCTACTAAAAACAATGAAGTGAATGGAGGAAAGGCAAGAAAATTATTGTATTTCAGGTCCTCGTCACTCACATTAAAGGTAGAGTTCCCAATTAATTGAATAAGGTTCCATGTAGCATCCAAGTAAGCAACACAAAGCCTACATTAGGTAAGAAAGATAATCCATTAGCATGAGAGCCAGAAAAGAAACAAATGGAGGAAGGCAAAGATAAAAAATAGAATGTATGCTAGGAATTGTATAAAAAATGATGCTTTGCATAACAGTCCTCAAACATAAGATCGAAAGTACATTGGACTCATTGGCAATAAATCTAGTAAACCAAGTATTTCATAAGTCAAAAAGTACATTTGACTTGCACTCAAAAGCCATAGCAAAGTGTAGAATAAATTGCAGCTGAAAGGTATACTAAAGGAGCAAGAGTCTTTGACAGCCTCTAGGTGCAAACAAATGATCCTGAGCAGAGTATGTTGCCTGCTTAATTTGCGTATCTAAAATGGGTATATGCCAACTAAAAATTAAAACAATTTAAATTTCACAAACTGAGCAGAGCAGGGGCTTGTGACCAAGTATCAACAACCCCAAAAACAAGACATAACAAGAATAAAAGAGCACGTAAGAGAAATAGAATAGATGTAACCCTCTTTACATTTTTAGACTCCTTATCAGACCCAATGTATCAGCATTTCATTTTCATTGTCATTTAGCCTACCCACCAATGTATGATATAATAGAAATAGCCATGCTTGGAAAATCCCTTTTTTCCTTGGGTAACAATACCTACCTGTCACATCCTTCCGGTACTGCAGGCTCATACTTAGGGTGAAGACTGAAGACAACCCAAAATAACTTCAAATCACAAATGTAGGTCATAGCTTGGACAGGTTGATTTCCAGAGATCATGAGGTCAATCTGAATAGAAGAGAAAAAAGTGGAAAAAATGAACAGATAGGTCCTTTGTATATCTGGGACGCAGGATAATTTTTCACATTAAACAGCAACAAAAGTGTTATCATAAATCAAATAATATTCAGAACAATCACCACTTGAGGCATAAAAAAAGGAATTTACTTCAGTACCGATGCGCTCTCTGCTAATTTTAGCTGAGAGAGCAGCTTTCACTTCATGACACGAAGCTGCTTCCTTTAGTTCTTCATCTAATATGAATCCAAACCTTGCTCCTGAGCACAAGACAAATATGAATCCAAAGCTTTCATAACAAGACACTAATGAGCTATGACTAATCTGAAAAATCAGCTGTAGAGAGCTAGACTGTGCTATAAAATTGGAAAAATAGAATAAAATGACAAGTACCAAAACGGATAGCTCGAAGAACTCGTAGTGGATCATCCATAAATGTGGACTTTGGGGGTAAAGGAGTCACTATTTTTCCAGATTTCAGATCTGCAATTCCTGCAGAAGACAAATGAAACATTAAAACAAATAGTAATAATTATGGCTCTTGGTTAAAAGAAAAACTTCTAGAAAAGAAGGCACCTAAATAAAACTAACCTCTTTTGGTATAGTCTTCAATTGAGCTGGTATTAATGTTGTAAAACAAGCTGTCCAACAAAATGAAACCCCCATTAAGAACATAAGTTAATCCAAACAAATATATGTAAAGTTTGCAGCAAGAGAAGCTGATTTAATAATTACTGGATAGATTCTTAGGGACGAAAGATACCTGTTAATGGTTAAATCCCTTCTGTATGCATCCTCCTCTGCTGTGCCATATTTTTGCTGTAAAATAGAAACAAAGTAACTTACTAATCATAAATTCAACAAGACTAGACTTAAATTTGATTTGACCAGCTTAATTAACTCTTTGTCCAACTAAAAGGGGCAAAATTGCCTCAAACTTTTAGTAAATTGAAATTCCACAAGATAAGAAAGTTACTCTTGATGAAGGGTGTCTAAAATATAGGCATCCTTATGAAACAGAATATCATGGGTGTTTTTAACTCATAACACCACGAAAGATGCCAAATGTCCTCATCCCATAGTCGAGCCTTAACATTATTCAAAATAATCGGGTTTACACACACAAACACTCTCTCCCTCTCTCAAGCTCAGAACTTTCAGAACCATATCCTTAATCGTAATGTCCTACCAAAACGAAATTAAAATGAAGAGACTAACAAACTCTAAACAATACATAGATTACGGAGACAAAAAAGGTATTTACCACAGTAGGAATGCGACTATTCTCACAATACTCTTCACACCTCAAGTTGACAAAATCAATCCATGTATCACATATGCGCATCCTCGCCGTTTCCAAATGTTTTGATTGTTCAGGATTGCTACAGCAACAATAAAAAACACTTAAGTGGACTCTACTTAGATGTACATAGATGCTCAATGGCAAAGCCACATACCATGGAATAACAGCAATTCCTTGTGCCTCTTCCCCAACATGCAACAAGTAGTCCCTAACCTTTTCTACAAATTCGCTGCCTAACATGTTGTCCAAAGCGATATCAATGTCATAACAGTCCTTTCCCAGAAGCTGTAAAACCAAAACCGACCATTTTCAAAGCTAAATTTTAAAAATAAAAAAATAAAACAAATATATACCAGGAAACCATTTTCTCTCCGTCCAAACATCACTTAAATCAGTACGAACCTTATCACGGACCCATCCACCAGCGACACGAAGCTGGTTCTGTAGGCCAAAATGGCGAACCGTTCCAAGCAGCCTATCAAATATCTTCTTTTCGGTTTCATTCAGTTCCACGTTGTCCCGCACTGGTACGGTAGGGCGAGACGGGACTGCCATGATTGCTCTGCAAGGAGAAAACACTCGGGTTTTCGTGGGAAACCAGGAGATTGGGAGGTTGGGATGTGGATAGCAGCTTCGACGGAGCTTGGGAACAAAGATAGGCTCGCAGCTTAGTAAAGCAGTTTGGAAAGCTACTCTCATGCTATGGATGAACTTTCAAGCCAATTTTCTTAGCCGAAACTAGACAGAATCTCCTTTGTTTATATGAAGTTTCCACCAATATATTTTCCACTACACAAAGTATGTAATGTGCAAACCCTAAATCCCTAAATTAGAAAGAAACAGTATTAAAATAAAATTAAAAGAAGAAGAATTAGAAGGAGTAGAATTGAAGGTTAAAAATATAAGTAAAACGAAAAGAAGAAGAATTTCGACGAAGGTTTGGGAGAAGTAAGAAAGAAGAAGATTGGGGTTTAAGAGTAAGAAAAACTTAGTGCTAGCAGCGGCAACAGTGGGCACAATGCTTTGCCTCTCAAAGGAACTATACTAAATTAACAATTAAAATATATACAAAAGGAGAAGGCCACAACCGTCACCACAACACTAGCGGCGGGGGATTGGCCGGAGTCACAAGGGCCGTACCCAACACCCTCTCCGCTCTCAAAAAATCCCGGCTGACTTTCTTCCGGCGACCACCCGCTGCATCAATTCAACAGAATCCGCTTCACGCGTCAACCCGAGGCTCTCAATCGTTGGAAAACAACACGAGCATAGCCTAAGAGCGTTTCCATCCGTTGCCCAGCCCAAGAGCAGGAGTGGGCCCAAGGCCGTTTTGCGCCTTCCAGCGGGCCAAGCCCGAGGGCTAAACGAGCTCGTGCTCCAGCCCGAGGGCAGGCTGACGCCAGCCTGACATCAGCGATCGGGTTCAAATTTTTTTACCATTGGCGCGTGATTTGAAATTACGTGCGCTTACGCCAGGCTGCCGTCAGCCCTGCTTTCAGCCAACAGTAACATGCCATGTGGCACGTTCTAGTAGCTCTGATTTTTTTTCCTCAAATTCAACGGCTGTCCTTTTTTTTTTGCTTTAAAAATTTGAATTTTTTTTTTTAAATTACCAAAAAATTATGGAAATTTTTTTTTCAATAAATACCTACCAATGTTGTTAACTTTCAACACCAAATCCTCATACATTTTCTTCACCTTCTAATATTATTCACTTTCTACACAAAAATTTCTTCACTTTTAATTTTCATTTTTTATTCATCATCTTATGGCATTTTCCATCAAAGCCGGAGGGACGTGGACAACCATGGAAGATGTTCTATTGCGTGAGTGTTGGGTCCAAGTTGGTCATTGTCCGATCGCGGACAATGAGATGAAATTATGTTATATGTAGAGAAAAATTCATGTCGAATTTTGAGAAATATTGGGTTTGGCTCGTACGGAAATGGCTTTGGCTTAGTAGGTGGAAAATTTTGAATAAATAGTTGGGGAAATGGAGAGATGCGTTAGCAAAAGCGAGGGACAACCATCGAAGCGAAGAAAATCTAAGCAATGAGGTAAATTCTTTGTAATTTCCGTTTTATTAAATTTAATGTCCTAATTTTTTTTTAATGTTTCTTGCATTTTCTTTTTTCTTTTTTAATGTTTCTTGCATTTCCATTTTTTTTGTAATGTTACTTGCATCTTCAATATTTTAATGTGTCTTGCATTTCTAATATTTTTTAAAAATAGATTATGCAAACACGAATGTGGTTCGGTGCCATTGGGCAAGGTAGAAAATCTTTCAACCATCAACAATGTTGGAAGGTGGTGAAAAATTACAAACAATTTATAATTATTCCCACGGGTCTGACCGTTGTGTTGAATGAGACGTCACTCCATGATTCAACGGCATCGGATTAGCCTTTGGATTCCCCGATGGGTCAACACTCACTAATCCAAAAGGAAATGAGGCCTATTGGTCGAAAGGAGGCGAAGGGGAAGAGAGGGAGTACTTCCAGCAATGATACTGCAAAAATTTTGGAACAAATTATAAGGAACAGCACCATGAGAATTGAGTTAGACATGAAAAAAGATGCGGACAAGAAGGCAATGAATGAAGAATATGTGAGAGAAATGGAGTATATACGCAAATAAGACATTGAGAAGAAGGATCGGGAAACCATGGCCATGGATACAAGCCATATGTCCCCTGAAACAAAACAATTTTGAAAGCTAGAACGAAGGGATGTTATGAGAATAAGACTTTTCCGTGACGATGGGCCTAGCAACACCGATTGGTTAAATGATCAAAACCATTAAGTTAGTTTGCTCACCTTTTATTTAATTGTATTGCTTGTTTTGTATTAAAGTAGTTGTAATTCTTGTGTTTTATTTAATTAGTAGTAATTCTTAATTAGTTGTATTGCTTTTCTTTGAGTGAATAAAGAAATCATTCAATAGAATACCTCTTTATTCAACACATTACATACATCAAACAAAACATAATTTTTAAAAAAAAACCACAACCAAAGCATAATTAAAAAAAAATCACAACCAAAGCATAATTAAAAATAAACCACAACCAAAGCATAATTAAAAATAAACCACAACCAAAGCATAATTAAAAATAAAACATCAACACAAAGCAAAATTAAAAACAAAGCATCTTCACTTCACTTCATTCACCGTCATTGCCTCTCACCGCCCATAAATGCTCCATCAAGTCAACTTGACGTCGTTCATAAATATAAGACGATTGTATCTCCGTATATCAATCAATCATACGGTTCATGAAACGACCGTCCCTAACCAATGGTTCATGCTCTAGGGGTTGTCCATTAGTTCTCATGAGCCTTTCATAAATTCTTGTCAAGTCCATGTTCATGGGATCGGTTTGAACACATTTGGAGCATCATAATTATACTCAACCTCCACAATCATGTTATGGAGGATGATGCACATCATCATAATGCTCCTCATCACCTCCTCATCAAACATACGTGTAGCACCCCTAATAATTACCCACCGAGCTTGGATGATACCAAAACAGCTTTCAACATTTTTCTTGTAACCCCCTTGATAGGCAGAAAATAATTTTTCCTTCTCGGATCGAGTTAAGAGTTTTGAATACATCACAGAATCTGACCAAGCTCTCCAGAGTAATGGACTTCCCCATCTTAGCAATCTCATCCACTTGATCACTAGATGCATTATACGCCATCATTTGTATAATAACTCCGGAAGAAGCCCCAAAACCCCGGCAACATCACACTTCTGAACGAAGTATGCATCGTAATTGCAAACATCATGCATGACTTTATTAAACAAATGGGGTTGCATTCTATATCACCCTCGAAAATCAACATTAGAGTACACAAAATTTGAGATAAAGTAATCTTCCAAAAGATTCTTACCTCGAGAATGCCTATGTCTGTCAAAGTTTGAGCCATGGCCGACTTGTGAACCACGGCGGCGGCCTTGACTTGAAAGATCGAGCATACCCATTGCCATGGCAACTTGTTCATCATCTTCTTGCTGCACCCTTTTTTTCTTCAACTCGTCTACGCCTTCTTTCTTTAATTCTTGCATTTGCCTCTCCAAGCATCTCCTCATGTTTGACAATGAGAGTGGAGTATGAAATATAAAATCTGAGAAATGAAAGGATAGAGAAGTTCTGGTGGTTTTATAGCGAAATTTAGAAGATAGAGATGACACGTGGCGCGATTTTAGAGGGTGAAAATCTTATATGAAATATGATATTTGTATTTTATAATAAATATCGACACGTGGCACCGAGAATCTTATTTGAAATTTGAGATTTTTTTTTATAATAAATGTCGACACGTGGCAATCGAGAATCTTATCCGAAAATTTTATCTGAAAAATTTATTCGAATTATGAGATATTAATTTTATAATAAATATTGACACATAGAAACCCAAAATCTTATCCGAAAAGCTTCTAAAAATTAATTATTTAGGTAAAAAAATAAAATTAAAAAATAAAAGTGAATAGTATTTGCCCTTTGCCATGGCAATGGGTGGAAACACACCTTACTTTTTTGCAAGGGCTGCCACTATTCACGTGAATAGTAATAGCCCTTGCCTCCACTTACCCTTTACCATGGCAAATGGGTGGAAGTGCTCTAACCCTCTCTGACCTTGGGATTGAACCTGTAGCCTTCTCTCTCTCCCTTCTCGTTCTTCTTTTTTAAACCGAAATGCCCCTCCACTTGAGGGGCACGTGTTTTAATTTAATGTTTAAATAAAATTCACTTTTGGTGCATGTGATTTATCACTTTTACCACTAAACTCCCTGTGATTTCAATTTGATCACTTTTGTCCCTTGGTTTAGATTTTTAAGCAATTCAAAGAGTTAGATCGTTATTGGAGGCGTTAAGTAATGATGTGGTTGCTCCGACGTGGCTTTTTTGCTGAGGTGGATATCACGGGGCTTTTTTAGTCTATGTAGAGTAACCTAAGCAAAAAAAGCCATGTTAGAGCCGACACATCATCACTTAACATCTTCTTTAACAGTCTCACTAACAAAGAGACTAATTTGTATGTTTTACATAAGGTCAGGTACGCCTGTGAAAAATTTAAAAGGTTGAGTACTAATTTGAAATGGCCCCTAAAGTTTTGATACTTTTATGTAGTTGACCCTAATTTTAATTTTCACTTTTTTTCATAAAAACAAAAAAATATTAAAAACTAAAAACATGTTTGGTAACAGATTTTATTTTTATTTTCAAAAAAGTGTAAAATCTAGTTTTCAAAAGGCATATTTACTGTAGTGCCCCATGAAACTATGGTCAAATCCTACATTGCCTCCCGGAAGTCAAAGTGGGCCACTTTAACCCCTTGAGCAAGGTTTGGTGTTCCAATTTGTCCCCTACCGTTATCTCCATTTATAACTTTGTCAACTTTGATGATGTGGCATTTGTAGGACCCATATTTTGCTGACATGGACTCCACAAAAGCAAAAATTAATTAGAATAAGACTAAACTCTTTTAAAATATTTAAAGTTAAAAACAATAAAATAAAACAACTCTTCTCTTTCTCTTCAGGTGTGAAGCCACAACCAAGACCAAGAATCCTTTTTGCCTATCCACAGCAATAAAACCATACCTAGCAACTTCTGCAACATCTTATGAATATATTTTTTGTTGGAAGAACAACAATCAGATTTATACTTAATAATTTAATTTAACAATTAAATTAAACAGCAAATAAAATAACAAAATTACACATAATTTCGCCCCTACTCAATGCTTGTAGTTCTGCAGGCGTATGCTCCATCAAGATACAAATATCTAAATCAAAGTCCTAGCACTAGGACTTTGATTTGTGACGAAATCTATGTGTTTATCTCTCAAGCTATACAGGTGTAGGGGTTTTTTTTGTTCCAGCAGCCTGACGAATGGGCTTGGGCTATTATGAGAACAAAACAAACAAAATTCCCCCGTTGTCTGAGTTCAGGAACCACGCTCCCAAAAAAGTTTTTGAAAAGTTTGCTAAAGCTTTAGAACAACCGCTTTCGGGTTCTTTTCACTAATAACCAAACAAACACAACAAATTGACGAATGGCTTGGCTTGAGGAGCTTGTGGCATGGCAGCTAAGCTTTCACAAGTTTAGCAATTTGAGAGAGAGAAAGCATGAGTTCCTTGCAGAATTAAAATGGGGTAGAAGAAATTAGGAGGATTTCTATCTTAGGGAAAGAAGAAAACAACGAGAGAAGAAGATTGGGTGGCTTGAGTAAATTCCAGTCGCTTGACAAAGCTTGGTCAGGCTCTGGATGATGATTTTGTTGGGTAGGAGAAGCTCCCTTTTATAGGCTAAAGAAATCCTAATTTCATCTAACTTTTCTCTCCCTTTTTCGTTGTTTCTTCCTACTTAATCTAATTTGGTGAAATTCTCCTATCCAAGGTGCTTGGGTAAGGAGCCCTTTGGGGTTCCAAGGATTTTGTATGGCTGGACCTCCCAATGAGGGTGAGGCGCTACTTGCTTTCCTTCTTGGTTTTTCAAAATGGTGCTTACAATAGGAAAGGGAGATGAGTGGAGTCTTTTGTCCGCTGGGTATTCTTCCTATGTTCATGGATTTCCTTTGGTCCCTGCCATGGCTCTTTGTTGACCACCTTGGAATTCTGACAAGGATGAAGCATGATGCCAGATTTTTCATAAGTCTCTGGGATGGGCTCGTGAGCACAGTATTGGGTTATCAGCATGTTATTTCCTGTGCTTAATGGGTTTTCGTCAAGCTGCTGGAAACAACTTATCTTAGGGGGTGTATTCAATTGACATTTTAACAGATTTTAATGTAATGGATTTTAGCCGGATTTGTAATTATATGATTTTACTCATGATTTTAATAGATTGCAATTACATGATTTTACTTATGATTTTAATTCACTTAGGATTTTACTTATGATTTTGATAGATTGCAGGTATATGATTTTACTTATATTTCTATACAAGCTTCAACTCTATCACTCATCATCATTCACCTATACATAACTTGAAGGAATTTGCCCAATTTTTAGGATACATATACTCAATTTTTAGAGTTAATACAAAGATAGTGGCACAATAACCATCAAATGTTAGTCCAAGGGAAGTACACTGACATCAACAATGTAACTCCCAACATAACCACACATGACTAGAATGAATACATTAAAGATAATGAGAGCCTAGACATAACATGCAAGAACACCACTCACATGAGCACTCAACTACAAATGCAAAACTACCATTAACTCTCACAAGCAAAATAATACAACATAAAACTGCAACTACAATGAAAAGCAAATCCACATAGCTAGCTTGTCCACTCCAAGAACCACGAAAGTTCTAGCAAGACCACCCAAGACCACGTCCACCCAAGACCACTAAAGAATAAAAAAAAATTAAATAAAAAATAAAAAACCAAGTCCAAGCCAAAGTACCCACCACTCAGCTTCAGCCACAACCTCAAGACCACGGGACCAATGCCACGGCTAGCCAGGTAGGAGGGGAAACCAATCGAGACACACGAGCCCACCAGCTTAAGAGTTTTTTGTTTTTTGTTTTTATATTTATATCTTTTTGCACAGTAGAAAGCATGAAAAAATAATGGGAAAAAAAATGTATGAGAGCATATATAAGAATCGGGCATAAGAGGGTGGGATTTCTTATGTGATTTGTTGTTTGTATTACATACTCAAAAATCTCACACAATACACAATTTAATGAAATACATTAAAATAAGTAAGTTTTTGAATACCACTGTACTTTTTCTTATCTTTTAAAAGTCCTAATTGAATACCACTGGACTTGCATTGATAAATCCTAATTAAATACCACCACACTTTTATTGATTACTTAAAAATCATAATTGAATACCGCTGTACTTTTAAGCTTCAAAATAATCCATTAAAATCTCAATTCAATAGGCATTATATTGGTGTGGGCTTGTCTAAGTGTTATAGCAGATTACTAAGCATTCTCCTAAGGCATTGGATCATTTTTCATGTTTCTTTCGTGATCAATTTATTCGTGTTGGGCTAAGAATAACTTGGGCCTAATCCTTGGATTTTTGGGCCTTAACAACAGGAATGATGATATGAATGTTCTCTACGAATTTGATGTTTTAAAACATAAGTAGGGCTCGTGTTTATATAACGACAAACCCAATCAGACAAAAACATTATCCGATATTTGAATTTTTAAAATAATTCAATTAATTAACTCGAAATTAATTAACTAATCGGGTTTAATTTAAATCACAGAGCCCAAGAGGCCCAATGCCTATCTTTTGACTATTTATATATATTAATTAGGCATTGACCCAACTAATTAGGCATTGACCCAAAAGCCAAACCCACAAGCCACTCAATTGGGCCACTTGCATAGCCCAATCCAAACTATTCTATTTCCAAGAGTAAGTCTTATAAAAACCTCCAAGGAACCCTAACTTTCCAACGTGGGACTAATTTCAACTCAAACAATGCTTTGCAAAACCAACAATACCCCACTTTTGAGTTGAAATGTGTATTCAAACACCTAACATAGCCCACATTTGAATCAAAATTTAAATGCAAATGATGCACGTACCACCTGAGAGATAGTAGAAATGATATGGATCAGGAGAAGTGTCTTTTGGACTTGAACTTACCCTAATGAAAATATATTGGGTCTATTGGGTGACACCGTGGATATAATGAACTTGAACTGTTCACCACTATTAGTAAACCGAGACAATATATCTCACACATATCAAATCTGACACATATCAATTAATACGTTTATGTTCATTTTGGTCCTGAACACATCCTGGTTTTCCTAGGAGCTTTAGAGAGTTTTAGCCATATCAACTCTCAAAAAATGTGACCCCACATTTACTCCTATATATAGGTGACATTAATTAAGAATAGTCTGATATATCCTCTTGATAACAAGATATTACTGTCATTAAATGCATAAGCATACACTCAATCATCAATAGACAACGCACACTTATCATAGAAATGAGCATTTTGTGTGTTCAACACTTTGAATCATCTCAAACTAGTTTGCCTATTGAACCTAGACCATGGGATCTCCAATCAACTAGGTTAGGCTTCAACCCAGTTTGATTTATTGAATTGGCTTTAGACCCATTCCCCTCGATGCATACACTATTTGCTCTCTTGGTAGGCCTTTTGCCAAATGATCTGCTATATTTTCCTTTAACTTTTCATAATCAATAGATATTACTCCATTTTAGAGTAACTATCTAATCGTATTGTGTCTTCGCCTTATATGTCTAGACTTGCCATTATCGACACTGTTTTTGGCTCTCGCTTGGGCAACCATACTATCATAGTGTATACAAATGGCAGTCACAGGCTTGGACCATAATGGAATATCCTCAAGGAAGTTTCTAAGCCATTCAGCTTCTTCAACAGCTTTATCCAAGGCTATAAACTCTGGTTCCATTATTGAACGTACTATACACGTCTGTTTAGAAGATTTCCAATACACTATTGCACATCATAATGTGAAAACATATCCACTAGTTGACTTGGTTTCTGTATAGTCATAAATCCAATTTGCATCACTGTATCATTCTAACACATGTGGATATCTTGTATAATGCAATCCATAACTCATACTATTCTTTAAGTATCTTAACACCCTTATCAAAGCATCCCAATGCTCTTGTCCTGGATTGCTTGTGTATCTAATAAGTCTATTTGTTAAGTAAGCTATGTCAAGCCTAGTAGAGTTCATCACATACATTAGATTGCCAATCACTTGAGAATATTCCAATTGTGAAATGGCATCACTAACATGTTTCTTTAATTTACAGTTGGCATCCAATAGAGTTGCAACAAGTTTACTGTTGAAATGTCCAAATTTTTTTAGGATCTTTTTGACATAATTAGATTGTGTAAGGATATATCCATAATTATTTCTTTTAATTTGAATTCAAAGTATAACATTTGCTTGACCTAAGTCTTTCATGTCAAAACTTGAGTTCAACATTGTCTTAATATTATTGATCACATCCTTACTTGTTCCCATTATCAACACACAATGACAAGTGTTACCATTGCTTTTAATGTAGATACATTTATCACACTCATTGATTTTGAAATCATATGTCAACATTGTATGGTCAAACTTTTCATGCCATTGTTTTGGTGCTTATTTAAGTCCATATAATGACTTCACAAGCTTACACAACTTCTTTTAATGTCCTTGAATCACAAACCCCTCAGGTTGCTCCATGTATATTTCTTCATCTAATTCTCCATTCAGAAAAGCAGTTTTTACATCCATTTGGTGTATATCCAAATTGTAAATATCTACAATTGCTATTAACACCCTAATAGATGTAATACGCGAAACTGGAGAATAAGTGTCAAAATAATCCAACCCCTCCTTTTAGCCATATCCCTTGACAACTAAACGTGCCTTATACTTATCAAAGGTGCCATCAACTTTCAACTTCTTTTTGAAAATCCATTTGTGTCGGTTTATTACCATGAGGTAAATCAACCAATTCCCACATATGCATAATGGACTCTATTTCACTTTTTATTGCTTCCTTCCAAAAAGGAGCTTCATGTGAAGTTATGGCTTGATGTTAAGTTTTTGGTTCACTTTCAGACAAGAAAGTAAGGAAATCTGGCCCAACGTTCTTTGGAACTTTTGTTCTTGTTCCTCTTATTGGTTCATAATCTATTTCTTGAAATCTTGAGGAAAAAGCTTCGTCATGACTTTGATCATGTGACCGCTTTCTAGTTGAACCACATTTATTTTCTTCGTAAGGATATATTTCCTCAAAGAATTATGCATTAACTAATTCAATGATAGTGTTAACATGTATGTCAGGAATTTCATATTTCACTACTAGAAATCCATAAGCAATTGTTCGCATATCCAATGAATACACAGTTAATAGTCTTTGGTCCAAGTGTAGTTCGCTTTGGTCAAGGAACTAGTACTTTTACTAGACTACCCCACACTTTTAGTGTCTTATATATGGGTATTAATTCTTTCTTTCCATATTTCATAGGCTTATTTACTGTAGCGCCCCCTAAAACTTTGGTCAAATCTCACTTTACCCTCTGAAAGTTAAAATGGCCCACTTTGCCCCCTTGACCGATATTTTGCATCTCAATTTACCCCCCACCATCAAGTCAGTCAAAAACTCTGTTAGAAATGCTGACGTGACAAGGATGGGACCCATAATTTTGTTGAATTGGATGCCACGTAGGTGCCAAGTATAAAAAATAAAAAGAAAGATTTTCTTTTCAAAAACTTAATTAAATTATTATTAATAGAAGGAAAAAAAATGAAAAAATTAACAGGAAATTAAAAAAACCAGCAACACCGTCTTCTCCATACCTCGCCACCCCTTCACCGTCGTAAGTAACAGATCTCCTCCCTCATCCCACCCTATCCCTTCGTACCTAGTATCTATAAAATGTGGTCTCCTTGTAATAGGGAATTGCCTTAAAATATTGCCTAGATCATGATTGTGATTTTGATGATGATGGTGTAAAAGGTAGGTTGGGCTTTCAAGGTAGAGGGGAGAGGAAGGGCCTCCATCCCAACGCCCCAACCATTCTCTCTTTCTCCAGATCTGACAACCCAAAACTTCAGATTCGCTGAGGATTCAACCCAACCGCCATCCTAGATCCGTCGCAAACTCAACCTATCCACAACACCATATCCAAATCTTGAATACCAAGGCCATGCCACCGTCTTCATCACCAAGCATTTTGCCCCTACAACCCAAAAACCCATCTCCACCACAAATGTGTGCATTGTTCTTTATTTATTTATTATTTTTATTTTTTTGTGGTGGGAATGGTTTGTGGTTGGTTTAGGTGGATATGGATAATGGTGGGTGGTGGTTGGTTGCATAAGAAGGAGGAAGGCGGATGGCGGCATGGCCTGTGGTGGGTTTGGGTGCTTATGAATGATGTTGGGGGTGATGGTTAGTTGCAGAGGGAGGAGGAAGGATGATGGGGCCACCTTTGGGGATATGGAGAGGTTGGGTAGATGCGTAACAGGGTAGGGAGGAGGGGATTGGGTTTATTTATTTATTATTTATAAATATTATTATTAATAATTGAGTTAAGTTTCATTGTTCTTTATTTATTTATTATTTTTATTTTTTTGTGGTGGGAATGGTTTGTGGTTGGTTTATGTGGATATGGATAATGGTGGGTGGTGGTTGGTTGCATAGGAAGGAGGAAGGCTGATGGCGGCATGGCCTGTGGTGGGTTTAGGTGCTTATGGATGATGTTGGGGGTGATGGTTAGTTGCAGAGGGAGGAGGAAGGATGATGGGGCCACCTTTGGGGATATGGAAAGGTTGGGCAGATGCGTAACAGGGTAGGGAGGAGGGGATTGGGTTTATTTATTTATTATTTATAAATATTATTATTAATAATTGAGTTAAGTTTTTTAATAGAAAATCTTTTTTTTTTTAATTTTTCACACTTGGCACCTACGTGGCATCCAATTTAACAAAATTATGGGTCTCATTCTTGTCACGTCAACATTTCTAACATAGTTTTTGACTGGCTTGACGGTGGGGGGGGTAAATTGAAATGCAAAACATCGGTCAAGGGGGCAAAGTGGGTCATTTTAACTTTCAGAGGGTAAAGTGAGATTTGACCAAAGTTTCAGGGGGCTCTACAGTAAATAAGCCTATTTCATAATGAGACTCATTAGTCTTCTTATGTGAAATTTTATTTAAAGCTCTATTTGCAGTAAGTAAAGCTTCACCCCACATGTTGTGTGGAAGCCTTGAGCTATTTAACATGGAATTAAATCATATCTTTAATGTTATATTTTTCTTTTCTACAACACCATTTTGTTGTGATGTATAAGGAGCTGTTGTTTGATGTACAATTCCATGTGTAGCATAAAAATCAGAAAAGGTTTAAGATTCATACTCCCCACCTCTATCTGATCTAAGTGCCTTGATTTTTCTCTCAAGTTGATTATTTACTTCAGCCTTACATGTCTTAAACATGTTCAAAGCCTCATCTTTTCTATGAATCATGTAAACATAGAAAAACTTATTACCATCATCAATGAAGGAGATGTAATAATTCTTCCTTCCACGAGTTGGTGTAGGCTCTTGCCTTCATTGTTGGTGTTATGGTGCTTGGATTGCTAAGTTAGAGGACAAAGGCAACCACCTTGGTGATGTTGGTTGTTTTTGAATTTCATTTTTTTTTCTTTGTTTGGTGTGAGGTAAACTTCTCTTTGGCTACACAAGACTGTTGTGGTAGAATAAGTACATGTTGTAGTTTGATTATTCCCACTTGTTCCTTGTGTTTGTAGAAATTTATTTCCTTGTATTTGGTCTTAATGTGTTTTGCACCTTTGTGAGCAAAGAACCTGAGATTTGTTCTTTTGTGTAATAGGTTTGTGAGTGTCTTGGGTGTATTTGGAATTTGGGTGAGTAGGTGGAGCATGTATTCATGAACAATAGTAAGGTTGAAAGACTAATAAATAGAAGTATTAAAAGAATGATATAATAAAAGTAATTTTAAGAATCACAAAGATCACTATGAATTAAACCAAGTAATTCATTTGATCTTCCCAAAACTGACTTAAAAGTTTGTCTAGCAAATTTGAATTCCGTACATGTTTGGCACTTATGATTGAAATCAATATTAAACTTTGGTAATAGTCCTAAATTACACATTCTATGTAAGGAATGAAAATTAACATGTCCTAATCTAGCATGCTATAAATTAGATGACTCAACAATATAAGTAGAAGCCTTATTTATTTCATTAATAGCATCAAAAGCCAATACATTGAGTTTTAAAAGACCATCAGCTAAGTAGCCTTTTCCTACAAACATTCCCTCTTAGTTAGGACAAACTTGTCATACTCAAATACAAGTTTAAAACCCTTGTTACTCAATAATGGGCCTAACACAAGGTTTTTCCTAATTTATGGAACATGTAGCACATTCTACAGGGTCAAGTTCTTTCTAGAAGTGAATTTCAGCACAACTTTTCCTTTTCCTTGAATTACAGAAGCAGAGACATTATCCATATACAGCTTTTCTCCACTAGAAATCTGATGGTAATTAGAAAACATATTTCTGTCACCACAAATATGCTTGGTAGAACCTATATCAATTCACCAATCCTTGTCATTTGAAACCATATTGGTTTTTGAAACAACATTAACAAAATCCTCAGTCACATTGGCCTAGTTGTTTCACCCATTATTGTTGCCTTGATTGACATGATTTTGGTCCCTTCGGTGGTGGCATTCTTGTGCTTTGTGGCCTGGTTTTCCACAAACCTAGCAAGAGCCCTTAATCTTCTTGAAATCCTTGGCCTTAGGTGCAAGGGCAGCATCTTGCATGTTTAAGTTCTTGCTCTTATTCTTCTTGGATTAACCCTTTGGTTTGAAGTCTTTTACCTCAACGATATTGGCATTGGCTTCTAAGACAGACACCCTTCTTATGATCCTCTTCCACTCGTAGCCTGAGAATGAGATCTTCCATATTCATCTCTATGCGCTTATGCTCAAGTTATATCTTGAAATCATTCCAAGATGGTCGTAATTTCTCAATTATTGCACAAACCTGAAAATGTTCATTAATTGAACATCCCTCAGCATGAAGTTCAGATATTAACTTATGGAGTTCTTCAACTTGTGTGATGATAGACTTGGAATCCACCATACTGAATTTCATAAATTTGCTAATGACAAACTTCTTAGAATCAGCATCTTCGATTTTGTATTTTTTTTCTCCAGTGACTCCCAAAATTCCTTGGCTGTTTTACAAGCTGAATAAATATCATAAAGATTATCATCCAGACTATTCAAGATATAGTTCCTACAACAAAATTCAGAATGCTTCCAAGCATCTATGGCACTTAGAGTTTCCTTCGGAATAAGATCCTCATCTGCCACTGGAACTTCTTCATTGATAACATTTGTCAAGTTCATTGTTGTTAAATAAAACAACATCTTTTGATGCCATCGTTTGGAGTCCACTCTTTGAAATTCTTTGGCTTTTCAGAATGAGGATTCTTAGCCCCATTGACGTCAATAATTGACACTAATTGTTGATCCATATTATGTTTCAAGATTGTTGAAAGAACAAATTTTTTTTTTGGAAAACCTTGGGCTAGGCAACAACCCATCTTACACTCCATGTAGGCCAGCCCCTGATGTTGAAGGCTAGATTTCGAAACTAACATTGACTTGAATGATTTTGGTGAAGAGGATAGTAATGAAGAAAAGCTTGAAGATACAAAAAATAATGAACAAGTATTTTCGGAGCATTCTAGAATTCGAAAAGAATTAATTCCAACTATTGGCATGGAGTTTGAATATGAAGATGAAGCATATAAGTTTTATAAAAATTATGCATATAATGCTGGCTTTAGAGTTAGATTAGGTAAATCACGTACTGTCAAAGATGGCACTGTGAGAAAGAGGCTTTTTTTGCTCATCTGAAGGCATTCGTGGAAATGATAAACGTGATATGAATCGGTTGTCAAGCAAGGATGGAGGTTAATTGTTGTTTATCTGGTAACTATCGTGTGATTGAATTTTTTCCTGAACATATACATGAGACTTTAACTCCTCATAAGGTACACTTGTACAGACCCCACAAGAAGATGAGTCTTGCCAAATAGTAGAAGTTGATATGGTTGATAGTTCAGGAATTGCTCCAAAAGCAACTGTTAAATCTTTTAATAAACAAGCGGGTGGCCGTCCAAATCTTTGGTTTATTTTTTATGATTAAAAAATTATTTGTGTTCCAAGGGAACAAGAGAAATGAAGTTGGGTGATACTAATGGAGTGTTAGAGTATTTACAACAAATTCAATTGAATGTTCCCAATTTTTTTATGCTATACAAGTGGACGAAGATGATCTCATAACTAATATTTTTTGGGCTAATAGAAGGATGATGGTAGAACATGATTATTTTGGTGATGTGGAATGTTTTAATACTACTTATAGAAAAAACAAAGAGGGATGACCTTGCTATGTTTTTAGTGTCAATAATAATAAGCAAATGGTTATATTTGGTGCTGCATTGTTATATGATGAGACAGTGTCCACTTTCATATGGTTGTTTGACACTTTTACCAAAGCTATGTCTCGAAAGAAACCAATTACCATTCTTACATACCAAGATATTGCAACAGCTAATGCATTAGCTACAAAATGGCTAGAATCATGTCATCATATGTGCATATGACATATTTATCAAAACACAGCCAAGCATAACACGAGAAATGAAGTTGCCAAAGACTTCAGCATCTGCGTTTATGATTATGAGGATGAAGAAGAGGGTTGTCTGAATGCATGGAAGAACATGCTTGACAAATATAATCTCCAAAGCAATGACTCGTTAAGTCGATTATTTTGTATAAGGAAGAAATGAGCATTAGTTTATGGGTGAGAAACATTTTGTGCGTATATTACCACTACACAACGTAGCGAAAGCATGAATTGTTCTCTAAAGAGGTATGTCAGTTACGAACATGATTGTTGCGTTTTTTTTTCAATATTTCCAAAGATTGGTTGAGGATTGTCATTATGAAGAGCTAAAGGCTGACTTTAAAGCAAGTCAAAGTTCTTATGTGTTTACAACCCCAAAAGTGTTCACTCTGGTTCAAAATAAATTATGTAAAGCTTATGATTGTGCCTCGAACTTCTTTGGTGAGATTGGAACAGTGAGCGAATATGGATTCATGGCTTGTGGGAAGCATTTCCTTCACACAGTCACATATAACTCTATTGATGATTCAATTTTTTTTTCTATAGTTGTAAGAAGTTCGAGTTTGCAAGAATCTTGTGTACTTATGCTTTAAAGGTTCTCTCTACAAAAAATATCTAAAGGATTCCGACTCAATACATCCTAAAGAGATAGACAAAAAATTTCAAGGCTAGGATTGCAAAAGTTATTTGCAATATTACAAGTGAAAGTGACCCAAAAGCAGAAGTAGGAAGGCGTTATAGAGAGTTATGTCACTTGCATATTCAACTGGCAACAAGGGCAACAAAATCTAAAAGATCATATGAAATTGTGTGGTTGATATGGTACTGGAAAGTACATGAGAGTGTGTGTGCGAACGCGCGGTAACGTTCGTGGTGGTGCTTCAGGATTCCAATGTACTGCGTCCAAGATCAGGACGAGCTTGCCGGCGGACCACTGCCGTCCCATTCTTGAGTGAGCTGGAGCGCTGGATTGGTTTTGAATAGGGATGGCAATGAGTCGAATCGGGGGTGGTATGCCATTCCCATTCTCATTCCCATTCCCATCCCAATTATGCATTTTTCTTCTGTCATCGCCTTCATACCCATAATATTCATATAGGGGATTCTCCATCCCCGCCTTTGTTGGGGAACGGGTTCCCCAACCCGCACCATTATGGAAGAAAAAAATCAATAAAAATGTATAGTTATAACTTATAAGACAATATAAGAATGTTTCCATATTGGCTGGAGGTTAATATAAGTAGTATGGCTTAGTATTCGTTTAAATTAAATTAATATATAATATAATAATAAGAAATATAAAACTTGGTCGGCACAATCACTTCAGTAACATTTTTATATAAAATAATATATATATATATATATATTCTAAACGAGGCAGGTTCGGGTTGGGGATTAATATACCATCCCCGCTCCTCCCCGAACACCATACCTGAAAAATTCCCCATATCCGTCCATATACCCATTTTTTTATCCTTCATACCCAATCCATTAGGTTCGAATCCCCCCAAAGCCCCTTACTCGAAGGGAAAATTGCCATCCCTAGTTTTGGAATTTTTGTGTTAAATGAGCCAAAAAGGTTTGTGATACTATATTGCTTCTTGTGAATTGAAAACTAGCTTGACATTTTCTCGAACATCTTATGTACACTTCAACCATCATACACTTTCGATAATATATGTGATTTCATTATAGGTAGGAAGCCAAGAGTAAAGATACATCAAATGAAAAAGCCTAAATCCAGAGCGAAAAGGCAAGATAACAATTGGAAAATAAAAGGTGTCATACTCAAACCAGTCAGAGGAAAAGAGCACCCAGATTGGTTTAGAGATAAACATAATTAGAAACGCGACACCAACTTTCCAACATCAAGCTCCAAACCAACTAACAATTACGTCTAGTGTGGTGGACATGGAAGTCCATCCTTGTTAAGCACATGGGTCAACAAAGATGGAGGGCGATGAACCCAAACCTCTAGTTCCATCCTTGCGTCGGCTGCTACCACAAGCGAGTCTGTTGCTTTGTTCACTGATCTAGCCAACTCAAACCTCATGTTCCATCCTTAAGTTGGCTGCTGCAGCAAGCGAGTCTCCCTAGAATTGTTTGTTGACGGATTTTTATTTAATAGAAAGTTGGATTGGAGGCATCTGCTCCCAGACAAAAGACGGTTCATTTGCTTCTATCAAAGAAGATGTATGCCTGCACTGATAAAAATTTGACATATTTAGTTATTTTATTTTTATTTAGAGATAACAGAGTTAGAGTAGGAATAAATATGTTAAAGTAGGGTTAAGTGGGATGCCATGTGTCAAAAAATTAAGACAGGATCATAGCGGGACAAATAAAAATATGGGGTCATTGACTCTTTCCAAAGTGGGTCCATAAGTTAGTGGAAGTGGTTACATACATGTTTATTAGTTACTGCATTTCATGTTTTTAGACTTTAGCTGTTGAATAGTTGTAGGAGTCAAGTTAATCCACTTCCATAGTGGTTGCGTTGTGGGAAAGTTTCCTTCTTTCTATGCTTTCAGTTAGAGTCTTTGTTTGTATAAATTTCAATGGCTTTTCATTAATGAGATATTAGATATTATCCCATATTGTTAGCTTGTCTAACTTGGAGGTTATTGGGTTCCCTCAAAGCAGCCCATATCATTGCTCTTCCACTTCTTTGTTTGTCTATAAGTCATTAGTTTCAAGATAGGAAGACGGAAGAAGACTCCAACGCCATATCAATCTTCATTGGTTTTGTATTCAATTACTCGAGCTATGACACGTAACAATCTGGTATCAGAGCTTCCCATCGGGAGCAACGCCTAAGACGTTTAAAGGCTAAAGTGAACTCCTTTGCGACCGTTCAAGATAAAATAATTAAGGAGATGCATGAAATGTTCTCGACCATGAATGCACGTCTTGATTAAATCTCTTAATGTAATGAAAGCTCTGGTAGCACCACCTAAAATGGCGAAGGTCGATTCAATGGGAATGAGGGAGCCACTCAAAACTCCGGTAGCTCTTACCTTCATAAACTAGTAAAGTTGGACTTTCCTCATTTTAATGGAATAGAAGACCCCACAAGTCGGATTTGTCAAGCCAAACAATTTTTTGAATTTCATCAAACTCTAGAAGGGGAGAGAGTGTCGTTAGCTTTATTCAATTTAGAAGGGGATGCTCAACTCTAGTTTCAATTGACGAAGGAGGAAACTGCCATCACCACATGGGAAACATTCAAGTAAGGCCTTCATGATAGGTATGGTCCAACTCAATTTCAAGACTTTTTTGGTGATCTAACAAAGTTACAACAAACATGCCCGGTACGACACTATCAAACCGAGTTTGATAAATTATTGATTAAAGTAGGAAGACTAACTCAAGATCAACAAGTTGGCTGTTTTGTGAGTGGTTTGAAGGAGACTATCAAAACTTATGTGCAAGTGTGCAAGCAACAAACACTCTCTGATGCCACCGGATTGGGTTGATATATGAGTCCCGCAATCAAACAAATAGGCGATACTTAACTTCGGATGTGAAACAGCCTTCTACGAATGGTGTCACGAAGTCTGACCATTGACAAAATTTCATGTCAATTAAGCGACTATTTGCAGTCAAACTAAAGGAACAACGAGATAAAGGATTTGCTACAATTGTGATGCAAAGTTTAGTCTTGGTCATCAGTGCAAAAAAATTATTTCTCATTGAAGGTTGATGGCCATATGAAGAAAATGAAGCCAAGGATGCAAATACTCATGAAGTGGAATTGGGTGAAGAAGTATTTCTTGAAGTATCTCTCCATGTTATTTATGGTGGTCGAACTCCGCAAACAATGTGAGTGCACAAAAAATTGGGTAAGCATCAAATGACATTCTTAGGGTTGGTGCACCCACAATTTTCTGAGTAATAAAGGTGCACAGAAAGTTGGTGTTAATCTCAGTAACTATGGAAAGTTTGAGGTGTCAGTTGCCAATGATAAAAAGCTTACTAGTGTTGGGCTTTGCAAGGTGGTGTATGCTAATCCAAGGAATTCCCATCACTGTTGATTTTTCTTCCTTTAAAGGGTTGTGATGCTATTTTGGGAGCACAATGGTTTTGCACGTTAGGGCCAATTGCTTGGGGTTTCTCTAAATTGTAAATGACATTTTGTTAGTATGAAATTGTGTTGGCATTTCCTAGAACTTAGTATAGGTTTGGAAGTGTCTTTTAGCTAGAGGATTGAAGCAAAATTGTTGTCTCTAATTTTCAGAAACTACAAGATTGTGCAGCTTAGCAATCCTCAAAACGCAGACTTGCGGCTTGACATGTGTAAGGCATTTGATTCAAGGGTAAGTGATGTCATTATCATGCATGTATATTAGGGGATTGTTTTAAAGGATGATTCAATCATGTTTTATTGATTTACTGTTTTTAAAAGTGCATTGAAGTTTATTTAGGAGTGTTTTCTTTTGAGGCAATTTTGGCCCAAATCAATTTGATTCTCCAACTTTCTTGTTTTAACATCCCTTTGATTTTCTCTCCCGTTTTGGTTGCTTGGAAATCATGTTTCAATCATATCACAATATCAAAGAGTAAAGATACCCTTAATAGTTGACTAGGCATATACGGATTCATTTGATATTGTGATTGATTACAATCTTCCTTTATTAAATATCTCCTTTCCTATTGGTTGGACTACATGTGACCAATCTTTAGAATAGGAAAGTTACTTTCGTGATTTTCTATCAAGCCTTAGAAATTGGAGATTTGGTTTTCAATGTGTTTTCTTTCTCGTAAAGAAAAAGTCTATAAAATAAGACCTTTGTCTTCTTTGTTTTCTAGTGCTTTCACGATCATATTTTCAGTCCATAAACTTTGGAAAGCTGAGTAAATAATCAAGTGTTCCATGTTTACTTGGTGATTTATCAAACACTTTTATCATTCATATTGCATTCATTTGCATGTTCGGTGACTCATACGGTTGAGGGCAACAAGATCGTTGTGGCGGTTTTTCTCCAGTGAGCTTGAATCAATCGTGACCAGCATTAGATTCAACATAAGGAGAGTTGGAAGAACTCTGGCGAGCTTGAAGCAATTGTAACAAGTATTGCGTTCAACATAAAGAGTGTCAAAAAATCATCATGTGACAAAAGTTGAGTTACGAAAAAGTCGATAAACATTATCTAGAATGTGTTTAGGATAAGTGTGTGAGTACTTCTTGTAATCATCGTTCTATAGTGGATTTGTTTTGAACTGAGGAGTCCCGTGGATTTTCCCCATAGGTGAGGTTTTACCACGTAAAATAATTCTCTACTTGTTCCTTTATTTTCTGCTCTGCACGTTTCCAGGATTGATAAGTCATATCACTCCTGCTACTGAAGTTTATTTTTATTTATTTATTATAATTTTAAATTGGCCTCTTCACCCCTCTAGACATTTTTAGTCATCCTACAGGTATTTTCACATTTAATGTGGGTGGACAAGATGTGGTATTCAAAGGGGTGCCAGCTCCAACAACAAAATTGAAAGTGAATGTGAGATTTGGAGAGAGGTGGAGGAAAATAAAAATGGAGCTCTTCCCCAGATTTACTTACTAGCTCTCAAATTTCCAAATGTCAACCATGAGGACAAGGTTTTTTCGGTGGGGGAAGGAATGTCACGTGCTCTCTCCAAAGTGGGTCCATGAGTTAGTGGAAGTGGTTACACTCATGTTTATTAGTTGCTGCATACTTGTAGGAGTCTTCTCGTCCCTAGACTTTAGTTGTTGAGTAGTTGTAGGAGTCAAGTTAATTCATTTCCATAGTGGTGGCGTTGTGAGAAAGCTTCCCTCTTTCTATGCTTTCAGTTAGAGTCTTTGTTTGTATAAATTTAAGTGGTTTTTCATAATGAGATATCAGATATTATCCCATATTGTTAGCTTGTCTAACTTGGAGGTTATTGGGTTCCCTCGAAGAAGCCCATATCATTGCTCTTCCACTTCTTCGTTTGTCTCTAAATCATTAGTTTCAAGATAGGAAGACGGAAGAATAAGACTCCAGTGCTAGATCAATCTTCACTTGTTCTTCGCCTAGTTACTAGAGCTATGGCACTTAACACATGGACATAGGATCTGAACACGTTTTTGTTTCATTTGTCACAAACATGTACTCATCTCAAAATGTCATTAGCACAACCTTCAAATCGGCCACTATTTGAACAAGTCATGTTCATCATAACTCTAATAAAAAGGTAAAACTTCTAAGTCCCATGAAAATCAAAATGCGTGTTACTTTCCAAAGGTAAGATTTTTGTATGCTTTTGCATCATTTATTTCAATTTGTGACTTTGGAATTTCCGAGTTTGCAAAGGTGCAATTGAACAAGGCCCCACAACTCATATTTACGTGGTTAAAGTAAGCTGCACATCATTCAATTGTACGATTAACAATAGAGGTGTCAAATGGGATGGGCCAGCCCAGCACGGCACGAGCCCAACCCTTTTAAATGAGGCACGGCACGACACGAGCACGAATATTAATGGGCCGTACTTGGCACGGCACGAAAACTTGGGCCGGGCCGGAATCAAAAAATAAGGTCCAATGAACCGGGCTGGCCCATGGCTCGACATGGGCCGGGCTTGGCTTGAGCCCACTTCAAGCACGGCACGAACCCAAGCATGGCCCAAGCCCGGCACGGCCTGTTTAACACCTCTAATTAGTACATATGACATATAGGCTTCTCTTATAATCAAAGCAAGACATTTCTTCACATATAAAATAATAAGTTGTTTAAAGATGAAAAGTTGAAGTGGACTTTGTGGAGTTAGACACTTTTTGCCCTCCGCCCTTTCATATTGTTTGGATGTTTGATTGATTAATGTTTTCAAATATTATCTAGTGGAAAAAAAAAAATCAAGTGAAAAAAATTCAAATTAAATGAGTTGGTTCTTTGGGCCCGAGTATGGCACGAGCACGAGTACGGGCATGGCACGAGCCCGGCCCGACCCGTTTTAATGTGGACATGGGCTTTGGGCCAGGCCGAGATCAATGATTTTACTAAATAGACTAGCACGACACGGCCCGATAAATTAAATGGGCCGGCCCGGCCCGGCATAGCCCGTTTGACACCTCTAATTAACAATAACTGCATATTTATGAGTTGCGTTGTGAACCCATAAATTTTCAAAGCCAAAAGTGAAAAAAATTGTGCAAAAACATACAAAAGTGTTACTATTCTTCCTTAGAATCATCATAAATGATGATATGTTCATCCTTTGTACTCTTCTTCCAGCTTTGAATGTAGAGAGTAGAGAAGGTGAAAGAAAGGAAAATGGGTAAGAAAAATATTTTCAAGAGTTACTTCCCGAAAAGAAAAATAGAGCAAAGTGATGGGTTGCTGCTGTTACACGAAGAGTTGTTCCAAAAAGAAATTTTGGACTGTGAGACCATATGGATGATTTGGTGATATTAATCAAGGGAACTCAACCAAACCATTAGGCTTGGGCCTTTTTGTTGGGGTTTTCCTTTTGCTCTGTTTTGTGTCTACTTTGCAGCTTTGTTAACTTAACTGACTGACTTGTCAATCTCTCTTCACAGCTTGTCCTTTAGCTTAGAGATGTCAAACGGGACGGGCCAGCCCAACACAGCATGAGCCCAGCCCGTTTAAATGAGGCACGACACTGCACAAAAACTTGGGTCAGGCCGGGATTAAAAAATGAGGTCCAATCGACCGGGTGGGCCCATGGCCTGACATGGGCCAGGTTTGGCCAGACCACTTCAAGCACGGCACGAACCCAAGCACGGCCCAAGCCCGGCCCACTTAACATTTTTTTCTTCTCAAAAGTCAAAATGCAATAATTTGACATCTAATGTCATTGTTTATATGGTTTTATTTATTTATAATAATAAACATATATTTGATGTCTTTCATTTTAGGGAAATTACTTGGGTCCTTAATTAATTAAACATATCAACTACAAATTAATTAAACAACATTGAACTTGATATCTAATTTAATTAAACAACATCAGCCCAGCCCAATATGAAAACGTTAAAAGCACGAGTTTAAATGACACTGATCGGCCCAGCACGGCACATTTTACACCTCTACTTTAGCTTCTGGCCAATACGAACCTTGGTTCAATCGAAGTGTAGATTTGACCACTTCTCTTTTCTCCTCTATCAGAGCCATGGCCATTGTTACAATACAATACTAAAATTTGGAAGAATTGTTATTTTTTAATAAAAATTATTGTATTTTAGTCCAAAATGGTAAGCCATCGCCGTGAACGCCTCCTATCTACCTCACTTGGTGACCGGTGAGTCAGTAACCAAATGAGAATGACCCACCTACCCCTCTTGGCTCTTCCATTACAACTTCCTCTGCTCATTTTCTTATTCTTCACGTATTGTCTCTCTCTATTCTCAACTTTTAGTCCTCTCTCTCCTTCTCTCTCTAGCTGAGACCAGAGTTAGGAGGCAATGAGACCCACCAGAGTACTGGCGGCTCTGTTCCTTGTGCTAGCTCTGTACTGTGGGCTTGACCCTTTTAAGCACAGTGCGATTGTGGACTTCCCGGACTTCGAAGCCTATAAGGTGGACATGCCCTCTTGGTCCTCGGTTCCTACAGAGAGAGACCCCGAGAACCTTCTGCAGAAATCGGAGATTAAGTTTCTGAACCAAGTGCAAGGCCCTGAGAGCGTCGCCTTTGACCCACTTGGCCGTGGACCTTACGCGGGTGTTGCTGATGGCAGAGTCTTGTTCTGGAATGGCCAGTCTTGGACTGATTTTGCCTATACTTCGCCTCATAGGTGAGTTTTCACAAATCGGGTTCTACGTTTTACTCAGTTTTTCATTTTTGATGGTGGGTTTTACTCAGTTTTTAAGTTTTGATTGTGGGTTTTACTCAAAAAGAAAAATTGCATGACTCAGTGCTCTATTCAATTTTTTGTTAGTTTAATGTGAGCAAACTTCTGTTGATTGTTCTCAAGAACGCAACTGCTTTTGATTATGGTAGTTGGTCGTTTGGAAATTATGTTTCTCCGCTCTTCTGACTAGCAATTTTTAATCTCGGTTTCAATTGAAGCTTCAAAATTTAGTTACTTTCATGGATGCCATCTATTAAGTTTTTGACATTTATACTTCATGGTGAATTCGTTTACATGAGAAATTCGTTATTGTAGCCAGACCACTTATTGAAACAAGCTGTTTGATCATGGAAAAGGAACTTATCGGTGTAGGGATGAGAAGTCATTTAGTAATGTCCTCATTGGATTTTAGTTGCTTCTTGCATCTTCTATTTTGAGGAAAAGTAACTAAATCTGATGCAGCTGTGTTTTTGGTTATTTACTTTTCAAATATTACTGTTTGAAATGATACATTTCTTTATGTCTTGTTTGGGATACAGGTCAGATATATGTAGTCCAAAACCATCGCCTCTGAGTTACTTGAAGAATGAGCACATCTGTGGAAGACCTTTGGGGCTTCGCTTTGACAAGAAAACTGGTGATTTATACATTGCAGATGCATATTTTGGGCTGTTGAAGGTGGGGCCAGAAGGTGGTTTGGCAACTCCACTAACAACTGAGGCAGAAGGGGTGCCATTAAGATTTACTAATGATCTAGACATTGATGAAGAAGGGAATGTTTATTTTACAGATAGTAGCACCACATACCAGAGGAGGTAGGTTATGCTTTTCTTGAAATTCTCTCTGCAATAGCATTTCTGCCAGTAGGTTATGCCTTTTCCTTTTGAATGTTGAGAACATGTGGTTTGAGATTGGCATTCTTATTGATGTGAGTGGGTCGTAAACTGTTGTTCACCATTTCTGAAGATGTCTGCTTAATTTGTTATTATAGTTCACTGACCAGTAATAGCGGATTTTCCAGTTACTCTAGGGCATTGTAGAATTGTGGAAGTCCACCATAAATTTGTTGCATTGCAACACCTGTTATGATGAAGGGCATTGCAATCCCATTTGAACTTTAAAGCATAATGCCTAATGAAGTTCTCCCCTAGTTTGTTGCAGCTTTTTACATTCATAGAATATTGACTTGACATCGATGGCGCATTCACTGAAATTAGGGTGTTCAATTGTTTGTGTATATATTCTTTCTAGTCCTGTTCCCATTTTGTATTATATTATAATATATTTCACATTAGAACTAACATCTGTGGAATAATGACATTGTGGATCAATTGAGAATCTATGAATATCTTGACTACTGCACTAATTCTCAGTATGTGCATTTCTTTTAAATCATTTCCCATCGCTTTTGAATTAATTGGTTGTTCCCTGTCAAGTCAGTTTGTACAGCATCTTATCCAAACAACCTGAACCTCTATGTGTTGTTACCATTGCCAATGCGATTTCTGAGGATTTCATTTTTCCTATTTAAGATTTTTTCTTTTGAATTTACAAATCTCTTGATGAATCCTTCATCCATTGTTTGCTTATTGCTGAATCTTGTTTTTCCCAAAAGATTCCTTACATCTTTCATATCATCGGTTAATTACTTTCAACCCCTGAGTAATGTACAAAGTCAAAGAAGAATCAATTAAATGAGTCATTAGTGTAGATGAAATGTTGTGCATAGGGCCCTTTTCTTTTGAGCAGCCCCTCACAAATCTTCAGTCCTGTTCTTACCATATTGTGGGAGTCTGTTTGTTTCTTCTTCTTCTTTTTTTTTCTTTTTTTTTGCCACATTGCTCTTCCAAAATACGCGTCTTTTTCCATTTTGCCTTTGTACTTACAATTTTAACGTAAGAGAAGCACTTTGCGTGATTCTAACAGAGTGATTTCTTTCAGGAACTTCATGCAGTTGGTTTTCTCTGCAGAGGATACTGGGAGGGTCCTAAAATACAACCCAACCACAAAGGAGACCACTGTTCTTGAGAAGAATCTCCAATTCCCAAATGGTTTGTCTCTAAGCAAGGATGGTTCCTTCTTTGTTTTTTGCGAAGGAGCCATAGGCAGGTGAGTTTGTATCTTCTTTCGAACACATTCAACTTACCATGTTATGATCACTGTGTGTCAATTCTACCCTGCGTTTAGGTCTGGGCCATGCATGAGTAGGTAGGATATACATGATGAGTCTGGACCCTTGTTCTTCCCCATGATATGATGGATGTTGTCTTACACACACTGCAATATATTTGATTGCCAGGGAACCAAATTTGGGGATGAAAACTTTCTCCTGGATCCTATGAACCCTCTTTGCAGTTTTTGGGTAATTTTGAGGCTAGGATACCATTGATCTCGAATGATTGAGCTGTTAAGAAATTGGCCTAAAAAATGTATAACAAGTGCAGTTTGACTGCACCTAACACTGTCGTCATAATGTACGGCCACACCATACCATAACTGGATTGGGCCTGAAATGAGTATAACAGAAATGATTGGAAATAGGCAGGTACATAAGTTCAAACTTATTACTTGAACCAAGCTTTGATACTGTATTTGAGAGGTGCTCAATAATTCATATCAAGCAGAACTCAATGTATTAATGATTACTTTCATGTAAAATCTCATATGCCATCTTCACGTGTCTCAGAAATCCGGTAACTACTGGTTCCCGGAGAATCTATATAAATTTCACTTCAAAAGCTGCAGGAGGTGTTTACAAGAAATTAAGTGCTAAGCACCGTACTTTACCCTGCTTATTTTCCTTTTATGGAAGGGTAATAAGAATTAAGAACTGGGATTTCTTCTGGGTCAGAAAAGTATGACGGGAGCTTTTTCTGTTTGATTACAAAATGAACAAGCATCCAGAGTAAATTGGTCTGATATAATTAATGGTAGATAAGATGCCTCAGAATATTCTGTGTACTGTTTGCAGCTATCTTAAGCTAAAAATATCTTTGTCAATCATTTTGTACTTAATGATAAAACCCATTTCATTATTGATGTAGATTACGCAAGTATTGGTTGAAAGGTGAAAAAGCAGGAACTTCAGAAGTATTTGCCGTGCTGCCTGGATTTCCTGACAACGTCAGAACTAATGAAAATGGTGATTTTTGGGTAGCAGTCCATTGTCGCCGGAATCTGTACACTCATCTTTGTGCTTTATTCCCTCAAATAAGGAAATTCCTACTCAAGCTTCCAATTTCAGCAAAGATTCAGTTCCTGATTCACATTGGGGGCCGACCCCATGCAGTCGTTGTGAAGTACAGCCCAGAGGGCAAGATTTTGCAGATATTGGAAGATAGTCAGGGTAAGGTTGTTAAGGCTGTCAGTGAAGTGGAAGAAAAGGATGGAAAATTATGGATGGGGAGTGTTCTGATGCCCTTCATTGCAGTCTACAACTTAGCTTGAGGTAAAAGAGTCAGTTTACCTAGTACTATTTATTCTTATGTTAGAGGTTTCTTCAACCTCTCATCCCCTCCCTCTTTTCTTCTCTATAATTTTCCTACTTTAAAAATGTTGAGGGCTGGGATTGTCGCGTCATGCATCTCCATTGTAGGTGGTTCCAAAATTTATGCTTTAACTTTGTAATGACCTCGTTTTTAAGTATACAGGGGTTAATTTGCTTCATCATCCATTGTTTCTACATCTGCACTTCACCAAGTAATTTATTATTACGTATTGGTTAAATACTGGATATAATTGAATCAGAGCACTGCTTTGATTACAGGTAATATTTCTCGAATCAGAAAAGGATATAACAAACAGTTACTACAAATTACAAGTAGGCAATGGCAGAGATATTATAACCATGAGAAATTATAATTTATGAACATGCTTGCTTTAGGCAGCATTGGCACCTATACGTATGAAAAATACGAATTTCATTTAAAAAAATCTGAACAAGGAGCTGAGCCACCAAGAAATCTCACTCGTCGTTAAAAGATGAAAATCAATTGAAAATTTCTAATGTTTTCTTAAGCTGCACATAAGGGTGCCCCTTTTTGCCACCACTATTCCTTAAAGAAAATCTTGAAGCAGCTCATGCATTTTTGCAAGAACAGCTTAACCAAATATCTTTCTCTCATGCAGAGCCTCTTAAACACAGAATACAGCAAGACTCAAAGTGATGATTGGATTGGATTCTATAATATGTTAAGCATAACTCCATCAAATATCTTTCTCTCATGCGAAGCCTCCATCAAATATCTCTCTCATGCAAAGCCTCTTAAGCATAAAACTAACTAGATTGGATTGTATTCCCAAAAGCAAATACATCATCTGATCCAATCATGTGGGTTTTTGAAATTAGGGATCCAATTCAATCCACTAAATCACCGAAACTGATTAAAATTGTATTGTATTGGATTGGATTGAATTGGATCGATTGGTTTGGGCGGATTGGATTGAGTTGGATTGGATTTTCATAAGTAAATCTGTCATCTATCGGTTTTGGAAATTAGAGATTCTATCCAATCCACCAAATCACTAAAACCGATTAAAATTGTATTGGATTGGATTGGTCGATTTGGGCGGATTAAAGTGAATCTTGCACACCCCAAAGAAAAACCATTACAACAATAGCTAGTCAACATTGATAAACCAGATATAAGGAAGATTGAAGGAGAAAGAGGGGAGGGGGAGGCTAGGTTTTTTCTTTAGGGAGAGAAAGGGTTTTTTTTTTGTTTGGTTGTCGAAATCAATTCATTAAAAGCCAAAAAGGGCAAACAGAACAACAGGAGAAAACACCAAAAGCAAATAAACAATAACAGGGGAGGGCAAGGCAAGGCATATTCAAAACACGAACCAGAGACGGTGGTGGTCTTTCAGCTCCGCCGCTCTAATACCTATCGCAGCCGCATTATGGGCGGCGTGATTCACTTGACGAGGAACCCATCTCCAATCAACAGAAGAAAATGACTCACTCATACGCCTGATTTCATCCAGATTCTGTTACTATCCTTGACATTAACCCCATCCAAAAGAACTTTAGAATCTGATTCCAAAACAATTCGTTGATCCGCCATAGATAAAGCATGAGAAGCTGCCAAAGCCTCCGCCACAAGCGCAGAAGCACAAGAACTGGATTTAGCAGCTCCCCGGCAGAATCTACCCTCAACATTACGAATGACAACTCCCAGCCAGACCCGCCTTCATCGTATTTTTCCGCCAAGCGCCATCAAAATAACAACCCCCATCACCGGGCGACACCAAGTAGGATAGGAGAGCTAAGAGGAGGCATGGTCTCCTCACTCAAAGTAGAAGGAGGAGGACCTCGCTGCTCTAAAATCCGTGGCAGCAGTAACAGCCAACTAAATTAAATACCACCCTGCAACGGGATTTCCATATCTCCCACGCAATAAAAGAAACCAAAGGAACATACGTATCTTGGGAAGTGTACCGATCAGTCCAAATGTTGGTATTAGAACCACTGAGAACTTGTACCTGAGCATTTTTCATCAGCATGTCGAGCCCTTCAATGAGACTAGCCCATAGCCACACGAGGGTAAAGACCCAGTAGCAGCATTCTGGTTGATATCAAATTGAGATAGCATTAAAAAAAACAAACAACAATAGTATTAACCAGTTGAGGGGGGGGGGGGGGGGGGGGGGGGGAGAGAGAGTCAGTGAAGGCTAATTAAATATATTGTAATTAAATAGTTAATAATATCTTTTTTATTGTTTATATTACTAAATATATTGTAGGTAAATACTTAAAATTATAAGAATTTTTTTAAATTGTATAATATATCATAAGTATTATTTAAGACATGAATCTACAATTAGAAACTTTTTTATGAGTAGCAGAAATGGGCTTAGCTAAGTTAGCTAGAGTGGATATGTTTCTCACTTTATACCGAGTTCAAATCCCAATGGTATTTTAGTCGAGAGCAGGTACTACAGTGGTGGCCTCCCTCTTCCCTTGTGCTTGAAACCTAGGTTCGAAACCCCAACATGTTTCTTTCCTTCCAATGTAACTCATATAAAAAAAAAAACATTTTAATAATAAAAATAATTTTCATTCCAATTTCTGACAATTTAGTAAATAGTTGAATGAGAATCAATTATACTTTCATTCTGATTCCAAACAGTTAATAAACACTTCAATGGGAATGCTTTGCAGTGACTCCAATTCATCTTCACTCCTATTCATGCTCACTCCCATCCATGTTCACTCTGATTACGAAATAATAAATCTACCATAAGTTCCTTCAACCTCTAAAGACACTCAACACATTCAACAAACATTTAACCAAGCTATGACACGATCATTTTCACTAGAAACAATATAAAGAGCCAAAGATTTCGAAAATCAAGGTACATGATTTACACCCCTAGAATTCGTACTTATAAATATTTAAATCTCAGGTATCATGCTCTTTGCGAAACACCACAATGTTTTAAGAACTAAGGTTTCTTCATTAATTGCACGTCATTTTCCATCAGCTAGTGAAAATTTGCTCCCACGAATGTGTCAAGTCTACTTAACAGGTGAGGCCCATCATTCTAAACTCAACTTCTGGTTTTCTCCATGTTCTAATCCAACATATCATAATCTAATAAATCAAAGAGATTAAATTTTCATGAATCACCATGTTCATAATCAATGAAAAATAAAGAAAACAAAAATAATAAAATTACCAACGTGGCGATATCCCATTGGTTGCTGGACCAAACCACACCAAAACTTTGTCGTATATGAGTACACCCTCCCGCACTCGTCGTCTCATCGTTGAACAACATTTTATATAAAATGAAATGAGAAAGGAGAGTGAAATCTGGAACGAGCACAAGAGTAACAGCGACACTCTGATTTTAGATTAAAGAAGAAGAAGAAGAAGAAGGCGGCAATAGGATATGGCCAATCCTTCGTCACCTCAGTATTTCTTCAAAAAGCATTGGGATGGTTACAGGGATTTCTGGTGCGAGAGGTTCTCCTTCCTCAGCAACTACTCCAAGTTCGTCAAACGCGATAAGCCTCTTCCACCTTGGTCTGAGTCTGATGTCGAAGCTTTCATTGCTTTTGACCCTGTTCATGGCCCCGCTGTAATTTCTAAACCTTCTCTTCTTTTGTTCCCTTCATTTTACTCTGCTCTATCTGCGTGTAAATGTTTGTGTTTGTAATGGGTTTTTGGGTTTCTTTGATTTTGTTGTTTTTTGACCTTCGTGGATCTCGTATTCGTATTTTTGTTTGTGTTGGATTGATCTTTGTTCCTTTTTTTTAATGTTCTTCATCTGGGTATTTTTTTCCCTTTGATTTCATTTTGGGCTGTGCGTTTTTCATTCATTGATATTTAAGTGTCCATTTCTGTTGTAGGATGATCTCCCAGGTATGTCTTATTTTTCGATATGAGGTTTGGTTTTTCTTTTTGGAGATGAATAATTTTGATTTTGAGTTGATAATATTCATCTGGGCAGGCTTTGTTTGTTTGTTTTTTTTTCCCCCCCATTTTATTTATGTTTGGTGCATTTCCCTTGGATTTCTTTGTTGTTTGTTGTTAATTTTAAGTTGTTTCTCTCTTATCCGTCAAATTTTGGCATATAACTGAAAAATAAATGTTTAGCTTGATACCTCTTTATTTGACTATAAAATCCTTTTACTAGTCATCATCTTTGGTTCTTCTAAACTGCAATGGACCTTCATTACTAAAAGTGGTAATTTTTATGGTGAAACTATTGCTCGTTTTATGTGTTTGTTACCAGTTCTGAGTAAGGTCGGAATTTTGATATATGGATGGTAGGTTAGTGGGGTGTTTAAATGGCTTAGGAAAAAGGATGAATAATTCCACAGAATTTGCGTTAGATACGATTAAAGACTGTTGTTCTTTTGACAGGAAAGTAATCGGAATAAGGGGTGCGAGCATTGAATAAATGCTCACAGTTTTGCTTCACACACACACACACACGCACACACACACGCACACACACACACACACACACAGAGTGTTTGGTTTTGAACTTTAGTTTAATGATGTGTTGAAGAGAATAAAACAATGAGCCTGAAATCTAAACGAGGTGCATGAAATAGTGGAAATAGAAAGAGGTATTGTGGCTAGAGGGCTCGTTCTTCCTATTTCTTCTTTCATGTAAACCTAGTGGCATTTTTGTAGGACCTTTTGAAAAGGTTTCTAAGTTTACATGTCTGGTTGTAATCCTGGAAACTTTAAGATTCTTGGTTGTCAAGAAATCGTGTCTAGTTAACGGAGCAAACAAGGAAACAACTAATCAAACTTTACCCAAATTATTGAGGTCCACTACAAGAACTGTATTTTTTATGTCCGGTGTCTAAATTTCTTTTCTTTCTTTTGGTATCTTTCCTTGTCTCTAGTTATCTTGGCACCAACCTTATTGCAAAATGCAGATAAATGAAGTGGACAAGAATATCAGATTTCATTTGCCTTTTATATTTTAGATATCTTTTATTCTTTTTTCAACTCTAAGAAGTGGCTTTTTATTACTTTTCCAAGTGCAATAAAATATTATTTGTTAATCTTAACTTTGCTGCCAATGTTCCAACCTTTTTTTGTTGTATCGTACTGTTATCCAGTAAGCCAGATCTTGTGCCCACAACTTGAAAAGATGTCTGCTAATATAATATCTGGCTCTTTACATGGTGCATATTGTACCCCTAAGATGGTATTTTCACTTTAACAAGCTTAATTGACATGCTTTCCCTTTTTCAGCTGAAGACTGCTAGGGAAGCAGTGAACTTTGGTCTTACAGGAAGTGTTATTGGAGCAGTATCAACTGCTGGCTTTGCGTGGAAATATTCAAGGAGTTTGCATGGTAGACCATTGGCTCTTCTTTTTTAGTGTATTCGCTATTTCATTGATTGAGCTGCCTATCAATTGAATCTCTAATGATTTCACCAATTCTTCAGTTCCTCATCATATTTTTATTTTTTCTTCAAACAGACCTTTGATGTTTTCTGCTTTGCCTGAATTAACATGACATCACTTGTGTAAAATTTCTTGAGCAACAGTTCAAATTTGTGGATAAATGAAATATGCATATCTAATACTTCACATCTAATTCCTGTACTAAATCCGTTTTTGCCGGCAAAAGATGCTTACTTAAGAAAATGCTAGTGCTTATCCAGTTGGCTATGGTAGAATGGACCAACATGGATTTCTATCAGTGGCAAAAAAATATCATGATGTGAGAAAAAAAAGTAGTGTCCAGTAGTGTCCCTGTAATTATAGCTGCTTCAAGTTGGTCCCTTATTATATTTCAAAGTTGTCTTCTTCATTCTCTCTTTCTGATATTTCTTCTGTCAACTTGGCCTGAATGTTCTGGAAATATAAATTTTTGAAAAACCTTGCATATGCTTAGTCTAGTTTTTGTTTTTTTATTTTTCAACTGTTTTCCTTTTCCAAAGGCCAGAGTTTATGTAGCCTGGAAAGGTCAAGTGTTTTCCTTAATTGTTGAAAGCAACTTAAAGGTTAGGTGTTCAAGCTTTGGTAGAGATAAAGGAACAGTATGTTATGATATACTGCTACATGCAACTCTCTCTCTCTCTCTCTCTCTCTCTCTCTCTCTCTCTCTCTCTCTCTCTCTCATATGGGAGTAATTCAGAAGCGTGCTAGTCTTTATATTGATTTCACAAACCACCCTCTTTTTCTGATCCTGCTATTGAAAGTGTGGAAATGACTCGATGAAAAGACATTGCATTTCAATTTACTGCAACTTTGGTTCATGCAAGTACCAAATGAGTATAAGCTCATGTGTACACTATAGATTGTGAATATATTAGTAACATACCAACGTGGCTTGGTAGAAATCAGCTGTATTCTGATTATAGCAGATGACTTATATAGCTCAGTGACGCACATGCCATCTTTCTGAGCATTTTAACTTACAATTTTTAAATGTTTCAATATTAACATCTGTGAATACCTGACATCTTTATGGGCATTTTAACTTGCAATCTTTATAGGGTTTTTAGATAGATTATAGAAGGTTATGTTATGGATCAGAGGAATTTCTAGATTCTGAACCCTGTTGAATTTGACAGGTGCTGGACTATCCTTTCTAGCTGGAGGTGTTTTTGGTTGGACATTTGGACAGGAAATTGCAAACCACTGGCTGCAACTTTACAGGTTGGACACATTGGCTGCACAAACTAAGTTCCTGGAGTGGTGGGAAGACAAGAATGAGAGACGGTCTTAAACTGGGTTGCTCTTGGAAGCAATATAATAACCGATGCTCCAGTTCTACAATAAGAATCAAACACAGTTGTGTTGAAAAATGTAATGATAAAAGATTGTACTTTACCTTTACGCTAGTTTGTTTTAATTTGAGCTTTAGGAATTCTCTGCTACTTTCTCAGAATCAATCTGATGAAATTGCGATGTTGTGATCTTTTTTGAGCTGCTATTTCGTTTAACTGTTTGAACTTTGTGAATTGTGATGAATTTTTATGGGGGCTGAAAATAATGCTGCATTTGGTGATGATTTAGATGTTATGGGTGACGTTATCCTGGAGCCCTATTTTCATTAAATTTTGAATGATGAGGAGTTGGAGATGGTAGGGATATCCTTAAAATGTCTATTAGAGAGATGATACCAAAAATGGTTTGTGGAGATCATGCACAAAATGGTCCATAGAGATGATACAAATGGTTTCACTTTTAGGAAACTATAAACTCCGCCTAATCCCAAAACGAACTGCAGAAAATGGAATAAAAACACATTACTTAACCGTCATTTATCTAATTCTGACCGAGCATTTGGCGTTGATTCTAGTAGGTTTAACTATGATTTAGGGGGATTAGGGTTTGAAGGGTCTAGAAAATAAGGATTCAGGGCTTTAGACCTAAATTCTAGACCCCAAAGTCTAAACCTCAATATGTAAATTAGAATTCAAATATAAATTCAATATGGTTTGTAATTTCAGTGAGCTTCATTTTAGTGAGTTACAGTTTCTTGCATGGGTGTAGGTTTATGGGAATATACACAAAGATTTTGGGTTAAAATAAACTTGGACGAAAGCAAAGAATTCAGAAAAAAAATAAAAAATAAAAAAAAGCAAAGGCTTGCAAACAAATAAATAAACATTGTTCAAAATTCTGTGCCAAAGAGGTTTGTGTTTTCGAACAAAAAAACAAACGAGTTTGTTTTTGTGCCTGGCAAGCGGAAATTAAAGCCCGAAAAGCTAGAGTTGCTATGCGTAGGAGAAACTCAAATCAGAGACAAAGACATTGCAAGAGGCACGTAAGTGAGGAATTTTCTGCTGCAGAAAAATACTTCTCTTCATTGTCTCATTGAGAAATCAAGGATGATCCTTCCCTGGCTGAAGGTACATATTTTTACTCTGCCTTTCTACTATTTTTACCTGCTCCATTGCTCTTCATGAGAAACAGCGCTGCCAGCGTGCCTACTCTGGTTTTTCTTTTAAACGTATCTTGCTTGGTGAAAAAAAAATTCCGTTCATATTTGAGTGGGGCGTATGAGGTTTCATGCTACATCGTGAGCTAGTTCATGTTACATAATGAGCTGGGCACTATATGAAACATATATTATATTGTCTTCTTTATTCCTAAACTCGTTTCCATTAAACTACTTGGGTTGGTTGAGCTGGTAAGGACCGTTCTCTTCGCTAAAAAGCATACTAAAATTCATTCTTGGATTCCCTGTAAATTTATCATTGCTTGTTAACCGCCTTCAAGGAAAATGTGGCAGAGGATTGGTGTTCGGAATCTGACACAGAAGGAAGTGGTCATCTATGTGACAGTGTGTCTAATTCACGCTCTTCACTAGAGATAAGAAAACCCACTTCTAGCATCTCCAAATCTTCAGCCAATGTGGAAGAGTTGAAGGATGATGTGCCATTAATTTCTTTTATCCAGTCCACCAAAGCTTCAACCAAAAGGAAAGGAGTTGGAATAAAAAATATTCCCAAGTCAACTGTTTCACAAAAATTTGTCTAATTTGAACACCAATGAGCAGACAGTCGTTGGCCGTAAAAGCAGTAGTGTATTCCTTCATGATGATGAAGATTGTTTACACCATAATTAACCGAGCATATCCAGCCTCAAAACAACTAGCACTAAGGCAGCCACGCCTTCTCCCCAACCGAAGGAAGTCACTCTTCCAAGGTGCCAGACACCTGCCGAAGCTTCCGACTGCCGATTATCTCAAACTGCTAAACCTAATTTCCATGACACATGTCACCACCACAACGACTTGCACAAAGTCCCACATCGGAAATCTACACAAACCTCCCACTTTCGCTTCCCTATAAATAGGGAACAGTACCCTAGTAAAAAGGGTAACTACTTTCTTACTTTTTACTATTACTCTGCTAAAGTTACCCCTCTTAGCTGACTTAAGCATCGGAGAGCCTTCGGCTGGCACCACACCGGTGTCCGAAGCTTAACGACTGCTTCTCCTATTTTGTCTTCTGCAAGCTAGCCTTTATTGAAGGTCCAGGCCCTTTCCCTGCTGAAGGCAAACCTCCTTTTTTCTAAGTTGACCCTCTCCGAAAAAGAGCATCAACAAAGATGAAATGAAAAATGAGGTTGAGTGCTCAAAAAACAGGCCTAGTGATCTCTTGATAGAAGACTTTGCTAATCCGAATGAATGTGAGTTAACCATTGCCTGATTTCATTTTCAAATTATAGCCACAGTTAAAAGCCAGAATACTCAATTGCAGTTAAGAGTAGAAGTAATACAACCAGACTTATTCCTGCTTGTAAACTTTAGGTAGCCAGTCTTGAATCAGTCTTGGAGAACACTGCCACCTTCTGTTGCAATTGACGTTTAAGTGCTTAACCCTTCGAGTTTTGCAGGATATCGCAGCCTTAAAATGTACCACGATTTCTTGAAACCCTGCCAATGTTGAAGAAGGCTTTAGTTCATGTAAATGAAAAAGGAAAAGGTTTCAGGGCTTCAAGCTCAGATGATGGCCTTATTGCTGCTACCCATCCTATGTTGCTTCATTCTGATGATAAACACAATGTGAGTGCTACTCAATTTTAATTGTAAGTAGATGGCTCTATCTATTGGCATATGTCTATTACAGTTGTATCATCTAACTAACATTTGGTTTTTCGTAATAATAGAAGCAGGGTGTTACATTTAAGATCGACAAAGACCTAATACATTTCTCATTCATGGCTACTGATAAGTTACTATGGAAGCAAATATTTACAAATCCTAGGTCAAATAATTAATCCAATATCAAATCCCTAAATAATTCAATCTCTCCAAATTGGGGGAGAATAATTCCTTTCTATGTGTGGAATTATTCTTCCAAAACCCTAGCCTTCAAGGCTCCTATAAATACATGGCTATGCACAAGGCTTGAGGTACGTCTGAAACTCCTCAAAAATCCCCCCTCACAAACCCTAGCTGTCACACACACACACACACACACACACACACACACACACACTCTCTCTCTCTCTCTCTCTCTCTCTCTCTCACACACACACACACACACAAGGCTCCGACCACCACACACGGCTTCGGCCACCCGGTTCTCCCCTAGAGAAATCTCCGCACCCTTTGTTAGCTATTGTTTCTCCTAGATACAGTCAACCTAACTTAGGCATCAGAGGGCCTTTGGCCAACACCTCTTGGGTGTGATCTTTTCACTCCATATTGTTTTACAGGGAGAAAGAGAAGCGAAGAGGAAGAAGGGATCCTGAGACGAAAATTCTCTAGGGAGGAAAATCACTCCCACAAATTGGTTCTTTCATTGAGAGCGCGAGTTAATACTCAATGCGTGCTCCAAAACCGTTTCCATACTTTTTTCCAATCAACCATGGCTGGAAGTAGACATGCGAGGAGTAGGGCTGTCGCGACGACACAATCCTCGACGGGTTTGAACCCTCCATCTTAAGGTTTCACAGTGGAAACCTTGCTGTCACCACAAGGGGTGGCGTTGGAGCCTGCCTTGTAGCCATCCTTTACAGTCGTTGAATCCTTCCAGCAAGTGCTAGAGCCGTTCCACCATAGCACAACCACGCAGTTGCTGGAACCATCACACTACAGCACTGCCCCATGGCCTCCTCCACCTTATAGCTACAAGCCCTAGCTACTAAAAAAGCCATGTCGAGCCATCCCACTGCAGGAACCACGCAGCCGCGTGTTGCCGCACTTGCTCATGGCCTTATGGCCTCCTTCACCTTACCGCTGCAAGTGCCAAGTACCGCCGTAGCCATCCACGAAGGCACCACAATTCACGGCTACCTTAATGCCGTCCCGGGTCATGCCTCCATCTTGGGGCAAATCTATTCGCTCCCTCCATTGTTGTCACACTTGACGTATGCACCCGTGTACACGTCCAATGGAGCCCTAGCCCATATGCCTTTGGGACCAATGCACGCAACTCTTCCCAAACCATGCAATTAGATGGACCTTAACTCACGAGTTGATCAACTCACACACACACAAAGAGTTGATGACCAAAACAATTTGATCAGCCAGCTACTTAAGCATATCAACTTAGGTCAAGGCCTTGACTTGGGATTCCAGGGTAAAGAGAGAAGAACGCAAGGGCTTACCGGCACATAGTTCGAGAGATCCAGGCCGGTCGGATAGTGACAAACAGGCAGGGGAGAGAACGAGAACGTGCTGATGAGACAGACATCTGCAAGCCTTCCTAGGAGTCGATCAATGATCCGTTTAAGATTAGGTCCAAGGACCAAGTTGCACGAGAGGCTAGGCCCACAATCCGACGTCCACACTCTATTAGGCCCACAAGGAAGTATCCATTTTGGGTTGGGCCTACAAAAAGCTCGAGTTCGTGAATAGTTGCATGATGAACACAATAGCCGATGCTCACTAACCAGCTCCAGGAGAACCAACTCAAGGCTACGAGCAGTAGAGGAACCCTCACAAGCTCAATCTACTAACCCACCCCACAGGTAGGACAACCAAGGGGATCGACCCTTGGAGGTTGAGGAAGAACTTAACTAGTGGCATCTAAATCACGAAAGATGCCGACCTGAGCCATAAGCTCTGCAGGTAGAAGATGTTGAGAGGCTTATGAATGACCAACACCAGAGTCTCCAACTTAAAGGAAGCATGAAGGCGGCTCTGCATAGGGAAGTTAATCAAGTCAACTCATCACCCTTCACCGATGATGTGGAGCAAGCTACACCTCCAAAGAGGTTCACAACACCATCCATCACACCGTTTAAGGGGGATTTTGACCTTGAGAGCCATTTAAAGCACTTCAAGAGTGTTATGATCCTGTACAAGACAGATGACGCCCTAATGTGCATGGTGTTCACGATGACCTTGAGAGGAGCAGCTCAGGATTGGTTCCACACTTTACCATCTGCATTAATCGACAGCTTCAAAGAGTTTTCCCTCGTTTTCACAAAGTAGTACACCTCCTATCGGACGGTTAGAAAACAGCCAGACTACCTGTTTAATATGCACAAGAAGCCTGACGAGTCTCTACAAGACTATACCAAGAGATTCAAGGCTGAGAATGCGAACATCGTAGGATGCAATGATTAAATCGCGTCCTCGACTTTCAAGAAGGGCTTGCCAGCTAAGCACGAGTTATACCGTGAGTTGACCATTGCTCCGAGCCAAACCCTACCAGAAGACTTCGCGATGGCAGAGTGCTAAACATGCTCTAGGACGACGACTGTATCTCCGTGAAGAAAGTAAGCAAGCAAGCCAATTAACCGGCTGGGCAAGCAAGCCAAAAGAATGGCAAGTTCGATAATAAGAACCAAGACAAGCACAGATCGCAGCCCCAAGGAGGAGTCACGACAACAGATTCTTTCATTGAGTTCTCTATCCCAATCCACTATATCTTAGCCTAAGTGAAGGACAAACCTTGGGTGAAGAGGCCACCACCTTAGAAGGGAGACCCGGCTAAGAAGGACCCTAATAAATATTGCACATTCCACGAAGAAGTTATTACACGAACAGCTGCTTCGCCTGGAAAAGGCATCTTGAAGAGTTGGTTAGAGACGGCTATTGCACAGAATTCATTGCAAAGAAGACCATCTAGCAGATCGAGGATCGTGATGCAGCTGCCAAGGAACCTCCCCAACAAGTCATACGAATCAACACGATCCCAGTCAACTCCTAGGAGTCTAAGCTGACCCCTAGGGAGTGGAAGAGAAAGATCAAGCAGGCGACTTTTGTCTCCTAAGTCACAACTAGTGACCCAACCATTGAGGACACTCCTATCATCAAATTTTAGAAGAAAGATTTGATCATGCTTCATTTGCCACATAATGACACCCTCAGCATCTGTATCCGGATTGAACGAGTTGTGGTTAAGCAAGTCCACGTGGAAGAAGGCAGTGCGACTAACATCTTGCAGCTGTCAGTTGTCTAGTAGATGGGATTAGAGCCCAAGATCAACAAGTAGGTCAGATCGCTCACCGGCTTCAACGGGGCCACATCGATCACTATGGGTACAATAGACCTTGATATCCACTCGCCACTAGTGGTATGTCGCAGACCTTTATGGTCATCGACGAGGTCTCCCTTACAATGGAATCCTAGGCTGACCATGGATCAACAAGATTGATGTCGTGACATCCGTTTTACACTAGAAGATCCGCCTGTTTTACACCAGAAGATCTGCTACCCCATCCATATTTGTGAAATTGGGTAGATCAATAGTGATGAAGCCATGGCAAGGAGATGCATAGCCCAAGGGCTAAAGAATAGCAAACAGTTGTAGTTCACATTGGTGATGCAGACTACCGACGAGGCAGGGCATGTTCTCGATGGTCAAGCAGATCTGGAAGGGTAGGGAGTTGCCACCTCCCAATAACAACTAAGGAGCCAGGATCAATACGAGAGAATCTGCCTAGAGGCCTCCTCTGACGATGGTTGGAAGCCTGAGGAAAGCGTTGAGCTAGTACCCCTTCATCCTAACCAACCATATAGAGAAGCGCAGATTGGCTCGCGCCTAAGCCCAGACGAGAATGTGAAGCTGGTCACCTTCCACTAGAACAACAAGGATGTATTTGCGTGGTCGCCATTTGACATGCCAGGTATCGACTCCCACATCATCTGCCACCGGCTCCACACTAACCTGACCAACAAGCCAGTGGCGCAGAAGAGACGTAACTTCGCTCACAAGTGAGTCGATAAGTTCCTAGCTGACGGCTTCATCGAAAAGGTCTCCTACTCATAAGGCATTCCCTAAGTACAACTTCCCACTACCGAGAATCGACCAACTCATGGATTCAACTTCTGGCAATCAGCTGCTCAGCTTCATGGACACCTACTCTGGCTATAATCAAATCCTGATGCACGAGGATGACAAGGCGAAAAACTCTTTTAGTATTGAGAGAAGGACCTACTGCTACAAGGTCATGCCCTATGGACTGAAGAACACCAGATCAATCTACCAAAGGCTCGTGAATAAAATTTTCAATGAGTAGACTGGCAAAACTATGTAAGTCTATGTAGACGACATGCTAATCAAAGTTCCTGAGGGTGTAGACCACATTAAGAACCTTATCGAAGCCTTCAACCTGCTCCGACAATACTGCATGAAGCTGAATTCGAGTAAATGCACGCTTGCTGTATCAGCCGACCAGTTTTTGGGATACCTGGTCGCTCAACAAGGTATTGAAGTGCACCCAAGCCAAAGTAAGGTCATTCTTGAGATGAAGTTGCCCTCAACAATGAAGGAAATACAAAGTCTGACAGTAAAAGCAGTGACACTTAACCGATTCCTCTCGAGATCTACCGAAAAATTCAGACCATTCTTCAAAGCTTTGAAGAAGGGACAAAAAGACAAGTGGGACGAGGAGTGCGAAGTAGCTTTCTAGAATCTGAACACTTACCTTACTTCACCTACCCTGCTCTCAAAACCAATCCCTAGTGAAGACTTGTTTAGCTCTCATCCGAGAAGAACTAGGGGCCAAACATCCTGTATTCTACACGTCAAAAGCTCTCCTTGATGTGGAGACTCACTACCCGAAATTCGATAAGCTCATTTTGGCCCTTGCAGTTTCCACGAGAAAATTGCGACCCTACAACCAAGCTAACCGGATCATCGACATGATTGACTTTCCTTTGCGATCAATTCTCCACAGCCTTGACGCTTCTCAGTGACTCATGAAATGGGCTATAGAACTAAGCCAATACAATCTCTCATACTGGCCAAAGACTACAATAAAAGTCCAAGCTCTAGCAGACTTTGTCGTGAAATTCACTCCATCAGCTGAAGGAGAGAAGTTGGTCAACAAAAATAAGGAAAGTTCGAGGGCAGACAAGACCACCTTCACCAAACCTTACCTGCCTAGAGGCATGTGGCAATTGCGTTTGGACGAAGCGTCGAACCAAAAGGGAGCTGGAGCATGCGTCATCATAATCACCCTCGATAGAGCAGGAGTATGAGGCATTACTCGCGGGCTTGCACTTTGTAAAGTAACTATCAATCAAGAAGCTACCCATCTACTCAGATTCCCAGTTGATTATGAATCAAGCCTGAGGAGAATGCATGGTGAAGCACCCAAGGATGATCTTATACCTTGACAAAGTCCAAGAGCTGTTGAAGGAATTTTCTACCTTCACCATCCAACAAGGGGCCCCAGGCATAGAACTGGCACACATACGCACTAGCAAGCTTGGGATTAGCCCTGGATACACAGTTCAGACGTTCCATCCAAGTCGAGCACCTTGACCAACAAAGTATTAAAGAGGCAGAGCAGCCAGACTTGATGCAGATCAATAAGGATCCTAGCTGGCAAGATCCCATCATCGACTACCTAGTGAATGAGAACTTGCCAAATGACAAATTTGAGGCCAAAAAATTAAGCAGAAAGATGCAAGATACTACATGAAGAATAACAGACTTGTTAGTAGATCATACTCTGGTCCTTATCTCACCTACATCAAATACCTATAGACGCTCGAGATGCTCTACAAGATACAGGATGATGAATGTGGGAAACACGCTTGGGGCAGATCTCTTGCCCAGAAGACTCTCAGAATAGGCTACTTCTAGCCTACCATGACCATTCAAATGGTTTATCTGGAGGAACATAATCTGCCAATTCCGCTGCTCGTAGTTGATAGTCACTGATAACGGCACACAGTTCGTAGGCAAGCAGATCACCGCATTTTTTGCGAAATATGGCATCAAACAACACCTGTCAACTCCAAGATATCTGTAAGGCAATGGCTAAGCAGAGGCATCCAACAAGATTATGCTAGACTGCCTGAGAAATTGAAAAACGCAGAAGGAAAATGGGTCAACAAGCTACCAGGAGTCCTATGGGCTTAACGCACAACCAAAAGGAGTTCAACCGGCAAGACACCATTTTCCATGGCCTACAGGACTGAGGTAATCATCCCCCCCTCCCTCCCCTCACACATCACAGTTCTATCCATGAGCATTGAAGTAGGTAATCTTGATAAGAATTGCAAGCAGATGAAAGTCAACCTTGATTTTCTTGAAGAAGAATTAGAGAAGGCCATTATTCGAATTGCAGCTTACTAGCAACAGCTGACATCTTACTACAATAAGAAGACCAAGATCAGACAATTTCAAACTGGAAACCTTGTACTCATAAAAATTTCATCACAACACGAAGGCAAGGGCCAAAGAAGATGAACCCCAACTGGGAAAGCCTCTACGTGATCAACTAGTCTGGGGGCAGAGGAAGCTATACCATTCACATCTTAGAGGGGAAGGAAATTTTGAGACAATAGAATGCCCACCACCTTAGGAGGTACTATCCATGAAGCTCTTCACTTACCAGCTCGGCTCAAAGCAGGCGATTGAGCCTCCCTCACCTCCGTTGAAGACAAAAATTACTTTCGATGTTATCCACGTTGTTCAACTCATTCATTCAATAAAGCAATGTAATCACACAAATATCAATATAAGTTCGAGCTTTTCTTTTAATGGAGTACTTATAAGGGCTATCGACATGTCTTTAGACATAGGCCAAACGGGTCACTCTTATCGACATGTCTCTGGACATTAGCCAAACATACCATTTACGAGAGCTATCGACATGTCTTCGAACATAGGCCACTCTCATAGACATGGCTCCGAACATAGGCCAAACAAGCCACTTACGGGAGCTATTGACATGTCTCAAAACATAGGCCAAACATGCCACTCTCATTGACATGGCTCCATACATAAGCTAAACGAGCCACTCTCATCGACATGTCTCCGGACATAGGCTAAACAAGCCACTTACTGGAGCAATCGACAAGTCTCCAGACATAGGCCAAACATGCCACTCCCAAGAGAGCAATCGACGTGACTACATATATAGGTCACATGGGTCACTTACAAGATGCAATGCGAATTGAAGTTTGAAAAACAACTACAAATTCCATAGCAAAACGACCAACTGGCCACTTCAATAAGAAAAAAGATGGTCAACTAAAGACCACTCATTGAAACAAGAAGTAAAATTAAATAGTACAAAAATAATAAAGGAGCCTATGTCTACTAGAGGACTCCGGCAGGTGACCCTTGGCCAACTACCTCCTCAGTTGCCTCCTGATCAACTGCGCCGACCACGGCCCCAGTCTGCTCAACCGCCGCCATCTGCTCAATAGCCCCAGCTGCTAGCTCTTTAACATCTACTCCAACCTCATCAGCTGCGCCATCCTTGGTATCATCTTCCTCTACTGCAGCTTCATCAGCCATCTGCTCCTGCATCCACAGCGTTGATCTACTCACTTTGAGCATGGGGCACATCTGGATAGAGCAGCTCAGCGTCTTCATCTTCAATGGGGCAAGAAGGAGAGGTGCCGTTCCTGCAGTTCAAGTATCCCAGCTTGTACGTATTAGCAGCAATCTCATGCTTAAACGCCTCTGTGGCTTCAACATGAGTGTCAAACTTGACTAGCAGCTTGCACGGTTTTGGGCAAGAACGGCATACTTGTGTTCGTGGTGAAAGTAGGCCTCTTTGAGTTCGAGCAGGGTAGTAACAATAGACTTGAGCTCATCATCTTTTTGGCCAATTGAACTCTTCAGCGTAAACATACTCTCCTTCATCTCGAACATCCTAGCATCATGGTGAATCCGCTTGTTCGAGAGCTTATCGATCAATTTAGCATTCTTCTTCATCAACTCATCGAGCTAAGCAGAAGATGAGGCAATAACAGACGAGTTCTGCATGGCCCCAACAGTAAAAACCATCCCCTTTCGAAGATGATACATGCCAACTTCTTCTTGCTTATCCAGGGAATGGCTCGAGAATGTGTCAAGGTCGCTAGCCTGATGTCCATGGTCGACTAGTTTGGCATAAGCAGACAGACTTGACAGGAAGTTCATCTTGAGTAGGTCAAAAATATGCTTATCCCCAGCAGAGCTATCACCAACTCCCGGACCAGCAGTTTATGCAACTAAAGGACTCTTTTCTTGCTCTGATGACTTTCTAGCCCTCTTGACCGGAACCTGCAATACTGAATCAACTCCACGCCTGAATTTTCATGGCTTGGAAGACGAGTCATGATTAATGAACAAGGGTACAGTCCTCTCAATTTGATCTACGGATTAGCGCAGACGACTCGAACCTTGCTTCTCAGCAATGTTCTTATAAGGCAGATCACATGTTTTGAGCAGTTCGGGTGGAGACTTGAGCAAAATATCTCTATCCTCCTACATGCCATTGACCTTCTTGATGTTCGCGCTGATGAGGTGTTTTGATCCCAGCAGGAACAATTCCCATAGGGACCTTCTCGGCAGATGGGACCCCTCTCGAGGAAGACTTGTTTATGGCAGAAAGAGGTTTCGGTTTCTTTGTTTATGAAGATCCATCCCTTGATCATGAGGACTCCTCCCACTCAACAGGCAGATCATCCAAGTCTGAGCCACACAGTTTCCATTTTTCAACATCTTCGGCAGGGGCAGACCACCAGTTTCCTTCCGATGCTCACTCAACAACTAGGGCCACTCATGGAATTTGGCAGGAATGTTCAGAGCTTGATGAACCTTTATCAAGTCCAAGTCGAGATCGAGCTTCTTGCGGATGTCATTTTTTGCACGCAGAAGGCAGAAGTTAGTTAGGTGTGACTTACCATCACAGTAAGTGAGAGGAACGAGCAAACCACCGCTTACCTCCCCTTCCCATCTACCACTAACCTCCAGCATGTCGGTTTGCCACACATGATCGCCTTGACTCAAACTATCAAACAGCTTGGCGTTGCATACTTGAACCTGAGCATACTTCTCGTAGTGTCTCACCTCGAAGAAGTAGAAGAATTCCTGCACTATCAGATCCAACTTGGAAAAACAGCTAAGATTTTCAAATCAGATGATCACTCAGTAAACATTCGGAGTACATCAGCTCGGAGCACACTCCATGCCGCAGAACACCTCACTGAAGAACTTCGATGGTGGAAATGTGAAGCCCATCGAGACATAGAAGGGACGGAACATGATAACTCGGGTGCCTTCGGATCCACTCGAGGCACATCGTCGGACATGGGCTTCACCAACTTGACAAGCACGTCCTTTGGAATGGCATAGTCGAAAGTGGCACACCATGTTTTGAATTAGGCCTCAGTGGTGACACAGTGTAGATTAAATAGCTGCAAAAATAACAAAGAATATATACTAGGAACTAGGAATTTTGACTTGTGATTGTCTTCATAATTTTTTGTAGCTGTTCAGTGACCATGTCTTTCAAAGGGAGAAGCCGATCACAGAACTTGCAAGTGTCCTTGTACTTGTGGAGTGGCTCCAAAGTGTACAAGGAGAGATTTGTGGCAAATCTGCACCGTGTCACCACCTAACCCTAGTTCAAAACATGGTGTGCCACTTTCGACTCTGCCACTCCGAAGGACGTGCATGTCAAGTTGGCGAAGCCCTTGTTCATCGATGTGCCTCGCGTGGATCTGAACAATTCAAGCACCCTAGTTATCACATTTCGTCCCTTCTACTTCTCGCTGGGCTTCACATTTCCATTGTCGAAGTTCTTCAAGGAGGTATTCTGCGCCATGAAGTGTGCTCCAAGCCAATGTACTCTGAATGTTTATAGAGCGATCATCTGCTTTGAAAATTTGAGCCACTTTTTCAAGCTGGAGATGATAATGCAAGAATTCTTCTACTTCTCCGAGGTGAGACACTACGAGAAGGATGCTCAGGTTCGCATGTTCAACGCCAAGTTGTTCGACAATTTCAGTCAAGGGGACCATGTGTGGCATACTGACATGCTGGAGGTTAGCGACAAGTGGAAAGGTGAGGTCGAAGATGGTCCGCTTGTCTCGCTCACCTACTGCGATGGTAAGTTGTACTCCATTGATTTGCTAAAGCTTCATTTGAATTCTTCGGAATGTAACTAAGATGACTAAGGTTCATTAGGCCCTGAATATTCCTGCCAAGTTCTGTGAGTAGCACTGGTTGTTGAGTGAGCATCAAAGGGAAGCTGGTGGTCTACCCAATGCCGAAAATGTTGCAAGGTGAAAGCTGCATGGCCTAGACCTATATGATCTGCTTGCTAAGCAGAAGAAGTCCTCAATCGAGCTCCTTGATAAGAGGAAGGCTAACAGTAGATCCATCAGAGATGAAGTTGCAACCTCACAATCATGGGATGCGTCTCCACAGAGAAAGAAACCGAGACCTCCTTCTGCCACGAGCAAGTCTTCTTCAAGGGGGGTCTCATCTGCCAAGAAGGTTCCCACGAGAATTGCTCATTTTTCATCTGCTAGGATCAAGCGCCTCGTCGGTGCAAACAACAAGAAGGTTAGTGGCATGCATGAGGTTCAGGATATTCTGCTCAAGTCTCCGATCGAACAGCTCAAAACCTGTGATTTGCCCTATAAGGAGGTTGTTGAGAAACATAGTTCAAGTCATCTGTGCCGGTCCGGGGATCAAATTGAGAGGACTGTACCCTTGCTCAACAATCACAACTCGTCTGCCAAGCCACGAATAATCAAGCGCGAAGTTGATTCAATATTGCAAGCTGCAGTCAAGAGGGCTAGAGAGTCATTTTCTCGAACGAAGAGTCCTCTAGTTACACAAACTGCTAGTCTGAGAGTTGGTGATAGTTCTGTTGGGGATAAGAGCATGTCTGACCTACTCAAGACAAACTTCATGTCAAGTTTGTCTGCTTGTACCAAGCTGGTTGACCATGTACACCAGGCTAGCGATCTTGGGAATCGTGGATCAGGTTAACCGAGGAATTGTGGATCAAGTTGACCGAGGAATCATTGATTTGGTATACCAAGGACTCGCAAGTTTGTCACCAAGTCGTTTGGTATTTTCCTGATCATTAAACATGTGCCTTGATAAAATAATAAAATTATTAAATAAAGCATGTTTCATAATTCCATAATAATATATTAAATTTAATATTTATTAGAGTAATGCAACTCTTACCACATTCATATACTACTTTATGTGACAAATAAGGTGAACAACCACATCAATTAAAATTAATTCAACATTTTCTTTTCGTTTATAATTTATTGACACTTTTTAATTAATGGTGATGTCTACTTCTGCGCCACAAGGTGGTATAAGAATGTGGTATACAAATATATTAAAAGTAGCATTACTCTATTTATTAAGAATGTGCCTTAATTCAAAATAATATTAAGTGGAATTTTCACAATGAACGTGCATTTTCCTTAATAAAACATTAAATATTAATATTTATTATAAATTAAAACATTAAACATCTTAGAGAAAGAGAAACTGATCTGTTATAGGCGTGGAAGCCATTGTTGGCGTGAGAAGGAGCAAGAGCCGCTTGTCGCGAGAGAGGGAAAAAGCTATTGTCGCGAGATAGAGCTTCGGCTCCAGCGATGCAACGATTAGTGACCGGAGTCTCCCAGCTTCGATGGTGACGTCGGAGTTGCGAGACGTCAAAAGGAGGAGCGCCAATGCCGCTGGGCAGATTCGGCGGAATCATTGATGGCACGTCGGCAACTTCTCCGGCATCGAGCTGCATCATCTTTCCGGAGTTCTGCAAGTTGGAGGCCGGCGATTCCCATGGTGCCAGCTGTGTCGCGAGTCCGAGAAGGTCCTCGGTCGATCGCAGCCGTGGCCTCCATTTTTCTTGGTGATGCGATGGCGAGCCCCGGCGTCACTTTCGTCTTAGCTTCTGGATTTTGCAGATTGGAAGCTGGTAGTTCCTTCACTGCTTAGGCGTCTTCTAATTAGATCAGGAGGACACCCAAACGGTTTTCATGGAGAACAAGTTGTTATTCTCTCTGTCTGCTGCATGACGAGGAGAAGAAACAAATTGTTTCTTTGCACAGGACCTTCACATCCAACTTTTCTCTTTTTGGTTTTGTTTGATGATTTGGAGCCTTGCATCCGAACTCTGATTTATTTTTTGTGATATTTTTGTTGCTGTGTCTTTCTCCAGCCGAGTCAAGCAGTGAGGATATTTTCCTCTTGGCGTGCATTGGTTTTTCGGAGGTGATGGATTCACCAAGAGAGGAACGACCATTGGATGGCTTAGCAGAATTTCGCCATTGATGCGGTGGCTGTTCACACCGTGTTCTTCGTGGTGGGGCCTCTCACCATGGCGATTTGAGAACTTTGGATCGATGATGGAATCGATGAATGAGGGGGGAAATGGATTTCCCTCGATTTGAATTCAATAGCATCCCATTCAGTATATCTCGAATATCTCAATCAAAGCACTAATTTGTGGGGGTGATTTTCCTCCATTGAGAATATTCGTCTCAGGGATAACCGGGTGGCCGGAGCCGTGTGTGGTGGCCGGAGCCTTGTGTCAGAGACAGAGAGAGAGTGGCGACTAGGGTTTGTGAGAGGGGATTTATGCAGAATTTCATACGTACCTCAAGCGTTGTGCGTAGCCATGTATTTTCAGAATAATAATTCCACATATGGAAAGGAATTATTCTCGCTCCAATTTAGAGAGATTGAGTTAATTAGGGATTTATCAAATCCCCAATTAGAGCAACTCCACCCATATTGCCCTTAGCCATGGCAAGGGGGGAGCTAGGGCAGCCACTATTCACGTGAATAGTGGTTGCCCTTGCAAAATCAGAATTTTGTGTTTCCACCCATTGCCCTAGCTAAGGGCAGTTACTATTCATTTTTTTGTTTTATTCACAATTTTATTTACCTTAATAATTAATGTGGATAATATTTTCGGATAAGATTTACGGGTTCCTACGTGTCAAGACTATTCATAATCAGATAAAATTTCGGGATAAGATTTTTTGGTTCAAATTTCGGATGAATTTCAAAATTCAAATTTCAGATAAATTTTTGGGTTCAAATTTCGAATGAATTTCAAAATTCAAATTTCGGATGAATTTCAAAAAGCAAATTTCAGATACATTTGGGTTCAAATTTCGGATGAATTTCAAAATTCAAATTTCAGATAAAATTGGGTTCAAATTTCGGATGAATTTCAAATTTCAGATAAGATTTTCATCCAATGAAATCAAGCCACGTGGCATCTTTATCTTGCCAAATTTTTCTATAAAACCAAAGGCTCACCTCATACCTCTCACACCACATCTTTCAATATTTTCATTTCTTAGAGTTTAGCATTCATACTCCATTCATTCTCAATGGAAGAATATAGGAGATGCTTGGAGAGGCATGAGAGAGAAAGAAAGGAGAGAAACCGTAGAGCCGATGAAATCAATGAGTTGCAGAGGCAAGTTGATGAACAAGTTCTCATAGCAGTGGCAATGGAAGAGGAAGAGAACCAAGGTCGCCGCCGTGGTTCACAAGTCGGCCGTCGCCGGAATGTGGACAGACATAGGCATTCTCGGGGTAAGAATCTTTTGGAAGATTATTTTATCCCAACTGCTTTGTACAATGATGTTGATTTTCGAAGGCGATTTAGAATGCAACCCCACTTGTTCAATAAAATCATGCATGATATTTGCAATTATGATGCATATTTTGTTCAAAAGTGTGATGCTACTGGGGTTTTGGGCCTTCTGCCGGAGCAAAAGCTTACAGCTGTTATACGCATGTTGGCGTATGGAGCATCTGCTGATCAGGTGGATGAGGTTGCCCGAATGGGGAAGTCCACTACGTTGGAGGCTTTGGTAAGATTTTGTGATGCAGTTGAAAACCTGTACACTAGGGACTACCTGCGTAGACCTACTCCCAGGGACCTCCAACGGCTTCTACAAAAAGCCGAAGCTCGAGGATTTCCAGGAATGATTGGTAGCATCGACTGCATGCATTGGCAATGGAAGAATTGCCCAACTGCCTGGCAAGGTGATTACGGAAATAGGAAAGGCACAAAAAGTATCATCCTGGAAGCCGTTGCTGGCTTCGACACATGGGTTTGGCATGCTTTCTTTGGAGTTGCCGGAGCCCAAAATGACCTCAACGTCCTGGGTCAATCTCCGGTCTTCAACGATGTTTTGAGCGGCCAAGGCCCCAATATTACCTATGAAGTCAACAATACAGTCTACCAGACGGGGTATTATCTAGCTGACGGTATCTACCCAAGGTGGACCACATTTGTCAAATCCATTTCGAATCCCCGATCCCATAAGCAAAAATTATTTGCTACTTATCAAGAAGGATACAGGAAAGATGTCGAAAGGTGTTTTGGCATCCTTCAAGCTCGATGGTTGATTGTTCGAGGTGCGGCTCGTATGTTTGATGAGGAGATCCTCCGGAGCATTATGATGACTTGCATCATCCTCCATAATATGATTGTGGAGGATGAGTACGATTATGATGCTGGAGAGGTCTATGAACCGGATCCAATAAACACGGCCTTGACCCGGATTTATGAAAGGCCCATGGGGCCAAATGGAGAACCGTTTGAGCTGGAACCGTTGGTGAGAGACGATCGTATGATGACCCGGATGATAGATCGATATACAGAGATGCAATCTTCCTATATTCATGAAAGCCGTCAACTTGACTTGATAGAGTATTTATGGACAGTGAAAGGGAATGAAGATGAATGATGGAGCATAGATGCTTTGGTTATGTTTAGGCCTTATGTTTTGGTTGTGTTGTTTAGTATTGCTTATGGTTTGGTTGTGTTGTTTTTTTATTTATTATTGTGCCTTGTTTCTAGTTTTTGTTTTGATTTGAATTATGTTGTGTTTGATGTATGGAATATGTTGAATAAAATTGTCTTTTATTGAAGGCTTTGTTTATTAAATAAAGAAATCCAATACAAGTCATTAAGAATTACTACTACTAAAATAAAAAACATGAAGTACACCAACTTTAATAGAAAACAAGAAAATTAAAAATACATAAAAGGTATGCCAACTAATTTAATGGTTTTGATCATTTAACCAATCCGTGTTGCTAGGCCCATCATCTTGGAAAAGTCTTCTTCTCATAACATCCCTCCGTTCTAGCTTCCAATATTGTTTTGTTTCGGGGGACATATGACTTGTATCCATTGCCATGGTTTCCCGATCCGTCTTCTGCTGATCTTTTTTGCGCAAATACTCCTTTTCTCGTGATTGTTCGGCTTGAATTGCCACCTCCATATCTTGGCGTTTCTGCTCCATTTCAATTCTAACCGAGTTTTGCCTTGCAATTTCCTCCAAAAACTTTGAATTAAAATTGCTTGAATTACCCGCTTTCTTTGCCTTCGCAGCCTTTCGGCCAATGGGCCTCGGTTCTTTTTGGATGGGTGAGTCTTCACTCATAGGGGAATCGAGAGGTGAATCCGATGTCGTTGCATCACGGAGAGGCGTCTCGTTTAACACAACGTCGGGACCCGTTGGAATAATATTGAAGCGTTTACAGTATTTCACCACCTCCCAACATTCATGATGGGTGAATTTTTTTTTGCCACCCCCGGTTGCACCGAACCACATCTGTGCTTGAATGAGCTATTTAACAAAAAAAAGGAAATGCAATAACTATTTAAAATATATTGGATATGCAAGTAACAAAATAAAAATAATGGAAATGCAATTAACCTTACAAATAAATTGGAAGTGCAAGAAATATGAAGAAACAATTGGAAATGCAATAAATATTAACAACATAATGAAAATGCAAGAAATATTAACAAAATATTTGAAATGCAATAAATATTAACAACATATTGAAAATGCAAGAAATATTAACAAAATATTTCAAATGCAAGAAATATTAACAAAATATTTGAAATGCAATAAATATTAACAACATATTGAAAATGCAAGAAATATTAACAAAATATTTCAAATGCAAGAAATATTAACAAAATATTTGAAATGCAAGAAATATTAACAAAATATTGACAATGCAATAAATATTAACAACATATATATATTAGGACATTAAACTTAATGATTACGAAAATTACAAAATACTTACTTCGTTAGTACGATTTTCCCCACTTCTATACAAATTCATCGCTTTTGCCAAGGCATCTCTCCATTTTGCCATCTCTTTGTTGAGAAGTTTCCACCTACTCGACAATGCCATTTCCGTACGAGTGGAGTCCGGAATTTTTTCGCAAAATTCGGCATGAATTTTTTTCCACATATGGAAAAATTTCATCTCATTGCCTGACAAGGGACAATGACAAACTCGGAGCCAAACCTCACACAAAGAAACATCTTCCATGGTGCTCCACGCCCCTCCGGTTTCAATAGAAGAAGCCATAAAATAATAACTAAAATTACAAGGTGAAAGAGATGAAAATGTTGAGTGAAGAGTGAAGAAAATGTTGAGTGAAGAGTGAAAAATATGTTGAGTAATTGTAGAAGTAGAATAAAATGTATGAGAATTGGTGTTGAAAGTGAAGGGTATTTATAGGTATTTATAGGAAAAAAAATCAGAATTTTTTAGGATTTTTTAGTATTTTTTTAAAAAAAATTTCGATTTTTTTTCATAATTTTATTGTCCAAAAATCGCCAGCCGTTGGATTAAAATTTGGAATCAAATCGGAGCGCTGGGGGACTGCCACGTGGCTTCCACCCGTTGTGGCTGGCGTCGCGCTGACGTCAGCGCACGCAGGTTCAAATTTTTTTAACGTTGGCGCGTGCATTGCACGCGCCAACGTTAAAAAAATTTGAATAACGCGTGACGACGTCAGCCTGACGTCGTCATGACGTCACCTCCACCGAGTTTTGGACCTGGGGCGAAAGTTGCCTTCGGGCCAGCCCGGGTTGGTGGGTCCCACACCCCCCCCCGGGCCTGGGCTTCGCCGCTGGAACCATTTTTTTGGCTTTTTC